ACGGTAAAATCACAGGCAGTAAAATCGCGCTTGAAAACAAAAAGTGAAAAAACAGAGGGAGATGAGAGGGAGAACAATACGGCATAGCAAAAATACGCCTCTCTCTCGACCGGCGTCACGTTCTAACTGCAATCGCGTCACGGTTTCCCCGAATAGGGCGAACGTGTGCGCTGCCGGGTGTACATGTAAACCCGGGCAAGGCGTTGTCGTTGCACCCGGATGCACTAGCAGCGCGAAGCTTCCGGTTATCTGGAGTCACCGATCGTTACCATGTATTTCGCATAGCGGACGTTGAAGCTCATTTTTTTCCATCCCTCTCACTTATTTTCTCCGCCTCTTTACACCCCTGGTCTCATTCTCCCTCTATCTTTATCTCTCTTCCTATCTCTCTCTCTCTATCTCTCGTAACCCGCGGCGACATAAACGTGGATGACATCCCGACGGAGAGACGACCGACTGCGCTTTCTCGATTCCCAAGGCGGCCCCGTTCCTTCCACGCTGCCGCCTGCGGCAGTAATTGCAGTTTCCTTTTATTTCGAGTCCGCGCGCGCAACATCCGCGGAATACTACCGCTTTTTACCCTGTGCTTTATATAAACTTTCGATATGAAGCCGGCGCAGCACCGCGAACCCCGGCGAAAGAATTTTAAGTTTCCATCCATCCATCCAAGTTGCACTTTCGCGGAATTTCAATATCTTCGTGCCCGTAATGGACCGTTACTACACGCACATTACGCTCCATTACGAGCACGCGGTTTTCCATGGGAAGATCTGTAGCCGCGTTTAGGCGCGTTCAGCGAATGCTGGATGCGGATATCGACGGCTTTTAAGAGTCAATTTTGCTACGATTTTTGCAAATATACCGAATATACTCTTATATCTGAAAAATGAATTATCTCGAAAGCGTTTTTCAACGACATGAAAAATCAATTTTGAATTTTTCACGAAGCGTATATCTGGAAAAAAAAAATAAATAAAGAGAGAAGAATCGAAGTGTGTGTAAAAATCGCGTGGACGACATAATTTTTAATTTTTAACCGTCAAAATTTATTAACGTCCATTAAATTAATGACTCAACCATTTGTAATTCATGATAAAATTTCTCATAAAGGGATCTCACGAAAAATTCGTTTCGCTTCGTTCGATGTGCACATGGTAGCGAATGTAAACATTTGCGTGTCGAAGTATAAAGTCGATTTTTAACACATATTTACGAATACGATACTGTCGCGTTTATAACTTACCGTAACATATGAAACAAGCAAAAAATTAATAACTTTTCTCCGAGTAACGGCATCGAGTTCACAATACGAGCCTTTAGATACAGACAGATGTTCGTGCTATAAAGTGCTTATAGTACATATCTTGTAGTAGTTTCTCTCCATAGCAGATTGTTCTTTAGAATAATACTAGACTTTCTTCCCTTTCGACCTCCTTTTCAGCCAAAGATTGACAATTGACTGAATCAAGTATTAGATTTTCTCGCACGAAAAATATATAATGTTTACGTTATTTCGAGAATTTAGCTTTTATATAATTATAGGATGGACTATGGAGAATATCATAAGTATTTTATAGCAGGAATAATTATGCTTAACGATTCATTATATTTTATATCTATATTTTAATATTTTTCTTTTATAAAATATTTCGTCTAGAACGAAAACAAATTGACAAAGATAATTTAGGCAATATTTTTTCCTAAAATTTTTAAGTATCTTCGATGTAAGAACGCTTTATAAATATATCTATCTTGATATTTATACACACTGAGAGAGAGAGAGTACTTTCAACTATTAATCTAAACTTTTGCCACTCATTTAACAACGCAATATGCACACGTAAAGTTACACGTGCAATTTCGAGTTTGCGTACTTTCATAATTTGTTTTACTGTCAGCCATACAAAGTGTAAAGTCACCTACTGATGTGGTAAACGATTGTACGATATACGTGGATACGATTGATGCATCCGACTATAATCTATTCCGTTTGCAAAGAAAAATTTAATGCTTACCTACCACAATTATAAGTAGATAAAACGACATTAGTTTGCAAATGTTCTATATTAGTTATACATTTACAATCGTCCTACTTTATAATATAATCGCCAAGGACGGTTTTAAATCTCATGACGAGATTCTAGATATAGTATTTACAATGACTATAAAATAGAGATGAAACACATCGAGATAACAAATGTAACTCATTATCGATATCTTATTTGATCATATATAATTTTTTTCGTTTCCATCTCTATTTAAAGATGAAGAATTTGAGAAATTTTCCAGTTATTTGATCAATTTTAATGACACTTTGAAAGATGAGTAAAATTTTCAAAGATGTATGCTAATAAAATATTATCTTACTAGACGACAGAGAGAGGCAAGAGGATTTTAAAAAATTTAAAAAGTAAACGCGAAAAAGCTGGCGCAGTATATACCCTAGTAAAAATAAATTGCCGAGACTCGATTCACAGAAAACAATCGAAACCGTGAATTTTACAACTCTCCACGAGGTATTCGTTTTGATGCTATATGAGTTGTGCTATAGATATTTTTTTTTATTTCAAAGTCTTTTGTTTTCAAAATCTTTTGACACGGAAAAATAATAATGTATGAAATAATTTTATTTCTCGTCACATATACTTTTCTTTCAAGCCTCTCTCTCTCTCCTCTTTGCATTCAATTCCAAACGGGACAACGAATTTCCGAACAGAACGCCCAAATTTTCAATGTACACGGCATTACACGTCTGTGTGCGCACGTTGCAGAACGCGAAGGGAGGATTGGGGAGGATATGTCCATCGCGCTGGTTCCTGATATACACGGAAATTCGTGTGCAGTGACGGTGGGAGAGGGTAGAGAAGAGGGGAATAGGCAATAGGGTGCATACAGCGGCTTTGATTTTCAGCCCGCGATACGCTACTGCCAATTATTCGGCATACACGCTGGCCCATTGTGAATCTGTCGAGAGACGGCGGTCGATTACTGCATCCGAAGTGGAGCCGTTATGTCAATTTGCATAATGCATCGATTAAATAAACGGGTTGCGCGGTCCTGTCCGATGTCGTAGAGCAGAGAGTGGCGTGGCAGAGGGTCGCGTCCGCGCCGCCGTCCGCAAAACAACTATTGACAGGTCGGCGAATTCGCGACGCCGTTCACGTTCCGTGCGTACGTCAAAATTAATGCGCGCTCCCCCACCTACTACTCCCTTTTCGCCCTTATATTCCCACCGTAACCGATTATGAGGTTGTCATCGATGTCATTGTATATACGGTGTGACGGTGTCGCGCCGACTCTTGCCCTTCGCGATTAATAATTAGCGACGTAATCGCGTCGGGGCGACCTGAAATTTCGTTGCGCCCTTTTATATATATGCACGCGCGCTATAAATCAGAATCATCGCGTCATTTGTCGGCCATTTCGCGCATCGCGCATCGGTTCGAGGGGTATATAACGCCGAAATATACCACCCATGGATTGCGCCGAATAAATTTCTCGTCTTGCTCGATTTAGTTTCGTGTTTAATGCGCTATTTGTCCAAGCCGCTGTTGCATGATAATTGCGGCACGACCCGGCGACATGTTCCGACGATGCAATAATTCCAGACGACATTGGCAAACCGTCGCAAATCGTACAATTATTGTTGGTTCGTTTTATTGGCATGTACGCACGGTCTTTTTATATATATGTTTGGAGAAATCTACAATCTGCAGCAATAATGAAGCGCTATTTTTTCCATGTCGAATATATAGAGACAATATTTTTCTTCAATTCGAAATTTTCAAAAGTTTAATAATTTAAAATTTTTCCATTGCTTGAGTGCTGCAAAAAGTCAATAAAATAGCAATAGTAATTTATTTTCTTTTCTTCTTTAGTTAACTAATTAAGTGACTGCTATGTGTTTTGACTATTTCTCATTTAATACAAAATATCACTGCAATTCTTTTTTCGAAACGCGGTCGCAAAACAATCGCTGAAACTAACTCTGTTAATTAATTTAATTATTACCATTTGTTCAAGCGCTTATGGTACTTGTCAATGTTCTATGTACTCGACTACTGGATATAGTCGAAATGATAAAGAGGAGGTATTTTATCTGTCATCTAATTGTGTGCGTACTAATAGCAACATTTATTTCAATATTTTCTCGTGCTATCTGGCATTATATGAAACATTTAAATATCAAACAAAAGTAATATATATAAATTTATATTGTATTGTATATTTTTTATAAATACTTATGATATTAAAATGTTTCACATTTTCTCAATAAGAATTCAATTAGTGATCAAATGAATTTATTCCTCGATAAATGTTCTTTAAATAACAATGAATAAAAAAAAATTATATTTTTTATTAAATATTCGATAAATATTAAAAATGCTTCAATTAGAAACTAAACACTATTTTTGATTATAAAACTTTGAGAGAACGGTGTAAAATCGAAAATCAGCTCTTACAAATAGAAGCCGACATTAACATTTTACTGGAAGAGATTAATCGTCTATCATTCATGTAACTGCACTATTATATCACCTGGCATGTCTACTGGTTCATTACTCTACGTTGCGATATAAAACATCGATACAAGCATCAATATAAATGATCCTAATGCAAGCGCATAAATATTTTCACTATGTTGAAAGCAGGGAAATATTGCAAGCGTAAACATTTTCTCTCCATTGCCTCTCCGAAGAGCAACGTAGATACTTAGCCTTAAACGTGCCGGCGTATATAACCGATAACGGAACTTTGAAGAAACATAAACTGAAAGAAGAAACCTTGTAACAAGAATAAAAGTATCTTTCCCGATATCCCGAACCAATTATTTGTTTCCCCAAACCCATTAGTAAACGCAAACGAACGGGCGAAGCGCAAACTTCCCCGTTTTTAACCCACCCCTTTCTCTCTCTCTCTCTCTCTCTCCTTTCGCAATTACATATTATTCTTTATTCCTTTCTCTTGCGAGAAAACTCTCAAGTTTTTCATTCACTTACGTGGCTCGTCGACGTCGCCGAGCAGAACTTCCGCTACGACGAACCGGGCCAGCAAGCTCATCAGCAAAAGCATCCTCTTCATTGTAAGCGAAATGAATCCTTAGCTCTCCTCCAATCCCTCGTGCAGATATCCCGTCCTCCTTGAATCCCGGTCCTTAAGTGGATGCCCCGACGTGGCTTGATAAGTTTCAATAAGACGAATCCGCGGAGAGAAAGAGAGAGGGAGTGAGAAGGAGAGAGATTCGTCAGGTCGCGCGAAATCTCGGTTTCAACAGACGCATCTCGTCGCGAGACGTGGAAGACATGAATACATGATCGATCTGATCCCGGCAAAATTCGATTCCTCCGATAAAAACGTTCGATAAGACTTTTAACGATAACTAGCGACGAAGACGATGAGAGAGTACGACCCGGCTGCGCTTTGAGAGAAGGCTTAAGTGCAGTTCACGGAGCACGTAAGGTATCTACCTAGCTGCCTACGCCGAGGCAGACTCTCGGCGTAAAACTGAGGATTATAAGTAAGTCGTGTAACTCCTTAAGCGCTCCGTGCAATTACGCGCGTTATTTATGTACGCAGACTTCAACGTCTCTAATGGGGTTATTCGATCGGGTAATTGTACATACTCCGCACATATATATACACAGTCTATTGGCGTTTACTTCATACACCACTAAGTCTCATACGCGCGAACGGCCCGTGTTCTGCTCCTCCGTCATCGCCCAACAATAATGACGTAATGATGTTTTCGAGAAACGTGGGACGGAAAAATCGATAAGCGTTAGATGGACTTCGCGTTTGCTGTATCGGGCGATAACATCGGGTGTTAAAGGGTACCCTCGAGGTTAAGAGTTATCGCCATCGTACTTTACGCACGGAAACATTTTACGTTGCACTTTGATATATCGGTGTTACCGGTTTTACACTTCCTGTTATGCATCCTTCAACCTCCGCAAAAAATTCACACCGTTCTTAACCGATTATAATCACGCGAGTGTGTTCCGAGAATAAAAAGGTAATTTTATAAAAAAACCGCCAAAGCGTTCGCATCTCCGATTCCTCTCGACTCTTATCCGGCAAATTTATTAATCCGAGATTTCAGGTACAGATGAAGATTATATCGATTGTCAGAGAAAAAGAATCATCTATCATTTGCTATACACGTAACGTTTATTCATTCGCAATTACGTTTCGTATCTTTCTTTAGGAAAAAGTATTTCTCTGCCGCGTGATTCCATTCACCAGATCGCACTTTGAATCAGTGCCGACGGTGGCAAGTTTTCTCCAGGATGCGCACAGCACCCCATGAGGGGTAGTATATGTCTTTCCGCTGTGGAATCACTCACACGAATACACTTGTCACTGTAGATCGCGATATAATCGATCACCCGCGCGCGCTAGGAGATCAACGATCGGATCGAATCGGAGTCATGGCTGTCGGTAATGTCCAACCGATCTTCCGGGGATACGCGAACACCCCTATTAGAGGTAGAAGGCGCGCTCACTGCTGCGTTGCGGCAGGCCTACTGACGAAGGCGACGGAGCTTTCGGCTCGCCTCGGCGCGACTCGTGCGAGTCCGTCACCCTCCGGCGCGGCGCGGCGGCCGCTTAAAGCGCCCGCCGATCACTTTTCGTCCCCGTCATTCCCGCCCGCCCGACCATGTCCTACTCTATACTACTATATCGCGCGCTATAGCCCCGACGCGACGTTCCGCGGAATCGGTGAACGTTAGAAAACGACCGCGCTCTCTCTTTCTCTCTCTCTCTCTTTGTCACTGAAAACGCTGAGACCGCGAACAATACAGGACAAAGAAACGCGAGACGTTTTAGCTTGCGTAGCTCGAGATGTGAGAAATAAAGATTATTTCGGTGGTGTACCCCCTCGTCTGCTGGCGCGATCAGCGAATGAAAATCTGTGATGATTACGCGAGGTAAACTATAATATTCATTTTTAAAGAATATTTTAATATGTTCTTTTTTTTATTCAATATTCAGAATTGATGTCATTTCTTAAAGTGACATGGTTAATTTTTAAATTTAAAGACACCATATGAGCAATTTTTGTCACTTAATGTTAAATGAATTTATTGTAAAATACATTGTAGATATAGATATATATATATGTATATATATATCACATGAAATACAAAGAAAGCATTTTGCAAAAATTCTTCTAATTTCACATAAAGTGACAATTGTTATCGTTAAAATAATGCGGTTCTCCAGCGTCTGACCAATCGTACTCGTTACTACTTGGCGACTCAGCGTCTCTATTTCTTTCTTTTGTTCTGCATTATTTTCCTTCTTTTTTTCTTTTTTCCTCAAGCGATTGAAATTAAACTATGCAAATTTCAAAAAAATATCAAACAAAAGTACTAAAAAGATGCGTCCAAATATTTATAACGAAATATTGAATTGACAGCAGCGAATCAATATACATATTATAAAACATATACATATATATTTTATATACATATGTATTTTATGAACAAAATTAAAAAATCAGAATATATATTTTGTACATATATAATATATAATATACATATATACATATACACACACAACTTCTTGTTTTTCAATTTTTTTAGCAATTAATCCTTCATATCCACGCATCCTGATATACCGCACGCAGTTTTTTACATGCGCTTTGTGTTGCAACGAAATACAACAATTTAAGAAAAATGACAACTGCCAATGCATAAAAGCGCGAGTATTAAAAGCTAAAAATTGAATTACAGAACAAGCCGGATTTAATTCGTGCACCCCGCGGGCAGTGAAAGTGATTTACGTGTACGTTGGCTAACCAAAAAAATCACACATGTGTACATACACGCCGGAAACACATTGCATCGGCATAGACATTTCAAATTCGAGAATATAACTGGAAAAATATAAAATGTTAACTCCTCGTCAGTTGCCTCTCCTGCAGCTTCATTTAAAAATTTTGTACAAAATCTCTGCATCACATTGAAAACAATTCTAAAAGATTTTAACTCGAGATGAGTCTGAAACATGTTTTACACATATCACAAGGAGGTTTCTCAAAATATATATCTTTCTTACTCTTGCAATTTTGTAACTCGACATATGATTAATATTTATAATCAATCTCGTACATTACCTACATAGGACACATGTACGAATAAATGTGCCAGCATCGCGTTTATTACAATTATGATGTATTTACTAAAAGCGCAGGTGTACAATAAGGTACTCTAGACGAAAGTTTATTGCTTCCGCAACAAGTTTCTAGAAGATCATATTGTAGAGAGAGATGATGTTGGAGATATTACACCTGAATTAGAAATACCTGAATGCCATCTTAATGTAAAATATTGTCATTTATATCACACACACACATATATATATATATATATATATATATAATTCTAAGCAGAACATGCACGATTAAAAGTATTGTATTTTTAAATTATTTTAGTGAACAAAACAGTGTTGTAAAAAAAGTCTATAAAATATATGCATATAAACACTATATAGTATAGTAACAAAAATATACGAGTATTATAGGTACAATTTTTAAAATGTTATATATATATATATATATATATATATATACTTTTAATCGTGCATGTTCTACCTAGAATAAAACTCAATATTAAAAAGATGAAATGTTTTTGATATTTGTTTTGAAATATTTCAGATTAAGACTGGTCGTGGAAATATCGAAAAATAGATATGTACAAGAAAATTAACTTCATATGTCAATCAATTTTATTTCTGATTATCTCATCTATAATAGCACATATTTCTAGACTTTATCGAAATTACTTAAGATCCAATAATATAAAGATATACAATATACCAATTAAATGCTCTTTAATTCAAATAAAGATATATATATATATATATATATATATATATATATATATATTATTTCGGTAAAGTCTAGAAACATGTGCTATTATAGATGAGATAACCAGAAATAAAATTGATTGACATATGGAATTAATTTTCTTGTACATATCTAGTTTTCAATATTTCCACGATACCAGTCTTAATCTGAAATATTTTAAAACAAATATCAAAAACATTTCATCTTTTTAATATTGAGTTTTAACAGTGTTTTAACACAGCGCTGCTGTGATCGTTATCATGCTTATTTATATAATATTTATGTATTCATTTTCTCTTTCACTAATATATAACTTATAATATTTGTAAATATTAAATTATTCGAAAGTCTGAAAAGAGTTTCCTCTAATTTATATATATATATATATGAAAAGGATATAATTGTGTATTGAGCGAAAAATATTTTACGAACAAAATGGAGAACTTTGGAATATATTTATCTATGCAATTTCTAGAGTTGTCTCCGAATAGCAAATAGTGCATCAGGTTCACTGATTTAATGTCGTTCATTCTGACATCGCTCAGGTCAAGATATAAATGTTTAAGATGAATTAAGCTCATCGATATATATGTATTTTCTGTTCCCTCAAAATGTAACTTTAAATATACTTTCGTTTTTTCTCTTTTATTCTACACAAGCACGCAATTACACATAAAGTATTAATAAAAAAAATAAATATTTTGAAAAATTAATCTATATAATTAATAATTATACACATGTATAATCTTTGTAGATTGTGTATGTGTGTTTGTATGATATTTCTGCACAAGTTATATTCTCTTACTGCTATAACATATAACATTTTTAAAATGAGATATATAAATACATCAACAAAATCGTATCGCCCCTCCTCCTATTGTTCTATATTCTTTCTGTATTATATAAAATCCCATAAAAGAATAATAATGTGCATGAACTTAAACGCATGATTATTTATCAGGTATCTAAATGCTTGAAAAACCATGGTACCTTGAAGAATTTCTCTGACCTTTATGTTTCTGATCATGGTTTTGAAATCAAAACGAAAAAGCTTACGACTTAATTTGTAAAATTGATTATTCTTCTCTACAAGGCATTTATCTCGATGCTGGAAGCGTACAATTCGATCACGTTGATGGTAAATTTATACGTCAGATCTCGGTACTCGACGATTCCGTCTTTGGGCACTATCTCGTTCAGATACCTGTCGAAGTGCTCAGAACAGTTCAGCAACAAGTGAAACATGTCCTTCAACTTCCCGGACGTGAAGATGGGCGAGAACCGCGTTCTTAATGGTCGCCATCTAACAGAGTCGATCTTGAAGAGGTGCAACGGACAGGGGTTCGGCCTATAAATTATGCATCAGTGTATCAGAAAACGGGAATTACGTTAGAAAGTTTCTTCTCAAAGTTTCCGTGTGATCAACGCCTGCCCGGAAACTTATACGCCAATCCAACTTCATGCTAGAAAAGAAGAAGAAGAAGAAGAAATAGTAGATAAAGAAAAGAAGAAAGAGAGAGAAGCATTTTTTTTTCTTAATTTTTTAAGTTACATTTATTCTGATTATTATTATCTCATTTTACTTCATTTTATTAATGCTTTTGCAATTAAATAATTTAAATAAACAAAAATTATTTCGAAATAAATGTGCATACATATGTTGATAACCGCGTTTTGTGAGGAAAAACAACATTTTAATCGTACAATTAATTAGATATCATACATTTATTTATTATAAGATTCTACTAATTGCAAAATGAAGGCTGTTTCATAATTTTCCCATTGTCGCTCATCTTCACCCGAGTGTTATCGATTAAAATAAAAATATTGCCCAACCGCGTTCTCTCTTTGTCTCTTGTTCTTTATTCTTTCTAGCGACGGAGCTATTCATCGGCATTTTACGAGTTTATTTCAATTTCGCGCGGTGGAATACACATATTAAATGGATTTCGAAAATTCACTTACCGTTTGATCTAGCCGCGCATTTCAATTATATGTTTACTCTTTGTCGATGGCATTCGCCTTTCTATTGAACCCCGCGCGCGCATTCGACGAACCCGGTAAAGTCGTGGGGAACGGATGCGGTGCGCGATACAATTGAATTAATCCCGATCGAACAACGCGACCTCCGAAATGAAACAGGAAATCACGTTATCGCACGTGGCGGCGCGTACAACCATGTGTTGCGAAACAAGCGGCTCTCATTAGTTGTTATTGTTCGATCGTGATTAGCAACAAAACCGTTGCTGCTGAATATGGGGCGTTATCGCAATTATATTGCCTACAAGATTATCGTAATCATTTGGATCGCATGAAGAGGAGAGTACGGGAGCAAATGGTGGTCTCTGTTGAAAAGCCTCATTTGATACGACCCTCCTTTCATTTCTCGGCACGCGTTGCTTCAATTACGAAATTACAGCGTGTCAAAATGAATCGAAATATACTCTCCGAATTATTAAATTATTCTGTATCACATTGAAGCATTTAAACATTTTTGAAATCCAATTCCTGCATTGTCTTTTTTTTATTTCGTACACTGGAATCGATGCAAAAATGAATATAAAGCTGCTTAATTTGCTCGATTGCAAGCGCGGTTGTATCAACGTATATAATCGAGCAGAGAGCTTCACGTCGAATCATCCATGGTGAGATGGAGAGCCAAATTGCGTCTTCTTTCGAGATTCATCCGATCGGAGATTCGAATCAGGTTAGCCTGCTCGAGGCGAAGAGACCGTCTTAATTCCTGCAGTTTCCAGCCCGCCTCAATCTGCTTCTCAACTATTTGCCTCTGCAAGGCGGCGATCCGCCGGTTTAAAGCATCGTAATCCGCTTGCAGAGGATCGCCGCTGTAGTTCCAATTAATCGCCGATCGATCGTAGGTCGCAGAAGCGCAGTCTTGTTGCACCATGCCTGAAGTCAATAGACAAATCTTGTCGTGCAGCTCGGCCAGTTGCGTCAACGTCAAAGACTGAAAGAAACGCGAAACGAATCGTTCGCGTTTTAGAAAATTATAGAATCCTATAAGAATACTCTTTTGTATCTGTTATACGATTGCGGAATTCGTATATACATAGAGAGAGAAAAATCGCCATGAGATTTAATAGATAAAGAAAGGAACCGCGAGACGAGATTAGCAAAATGAACTCTTATCACTACACGCACGTACCTTCAACCAAGATTCAGGGTCAAAAGCTGCAAGCTCATCGCCATTATCCGCACCTGCAACCTTGGTAACTTCTACACCAAGCTCCTAGAAACGATTCATTTCCCGCGTTAATATGCACAAGTCGGAAATTTCGAATTACCCTCTTGATAAATTATCAAATAAAAAGCCGCGTATTAAAACTAATGTCTTCATTATTCTCACCGACAGTTGTTTTATATATTTCTCGTTATCACTCTTGCATTGATTAAAAAGTTCCAATAGTTTATTAATATTTTGCACTTCGATTTCCGCCAGATAAATATTCTCGGACAGTTTTTGCGATTCTTTCAATAACTCTACGATGGATGGCACCGTCCACTCCTTGATCTTTAAGTCATCGACCGGAGTCATCGCCATTGCGGGTTTCGTAGGAATGTTACCATCTATATAGCGTATGTAATCACGCACACGTTGCACGGCTATTATCGCAAAAACAAATATCACCTTGTAGAGTCACCTTGTAGAGATTATGTAATAAAGTTTCATTTTTATTTCACACTTTCTACTTCATAAAAATTTATTTAAAATACCACTTACTATTAAATTACTATAAAATCTTTATCAACATCACGTAATTAATAGAAAAGATTAATTCAATATTTGCAAAATGTTATTTTCAAATATCACAAGTTTATGGAAATGTTTAGTTTATTAAGATATTAGTCCGACTCTTTAATTAAGAACTATGAATAAGCAAATACGCATTTCTCTCACGATGCGATAAAAACTGTCGAGGTGAAAAAACAGTTAGAAAGTTTTTATGCAAGTTTTACCGTCATATTGCTTTTCAATCTGCTTCTTTAGTAATTCATTCGCCTTAACGAAGTCGCCGCATTCATCCGGTTTAATCACGCCAGCCTCTGGAATTATAAAGATGTCTTCTTTTTAAATGCGAGCGCGGCCGACGAATTCAATGGCGAGAAAAAGGCTCGTCGAAAACCACGAATGAATGAAACGCATTACGCGACTAAATTATGCCCATCGATTTAAATAGTTATGCGATAAAAATGATGATTATTTAATTTTCTAGCGTGCTATGTACACACACACACACACACACACATATATATATATATATAGCATACTAATAATATTTATTATTGCATGTATATTATATGTATATTAATATTTTATAATATTTTAATATATCAAAAAAAATTCATATACACAAACCTGCAGCAGGAGAAAGAGAAGATTTCAATAGTCTATTTTCATGCCGCAAATTGTCAAGTTGTTGATTCAAATCTTCTTTTAGTTTATCGATATCGATGTGCTTTCTTCTCAGATCATCTCGCAACTCTTCATTTTCCATCATTAACTTTTTAAATCTTGCTGCGCCTTATCATACTCTAGCAATAATTTCGTAAGGTCATCTTTGACTTTATCCAACTCGAGCCAAGCGTTATTTAACTTGATATTCACGTCCCTATTTTCGTTCTCTAATCTGCTACATTCCTCCGTCAGTTTGTTGTTTTCAATCTCGGATTTTCTCAAATCCGCCCGTAATATCAACTCTTGATCTTTCAAAGCAGTCGATTCGATCGTTAGCCGCTCGTTGTCCGCTCGACATCTATTTAAATCGTCCTGCAAATGAGCCAAAGCGTCTTTTAAGACATCCAATTCCTTCAAGGCGGCGCTCCTGTCCGCTCTCACTGCATTCAGATCCTTAACTAAGTCATCGATCTGCGCTTGTGCGTCATCAGCACTAGCCTTTGAAATCGCGGCCTGAACTTTCGCGTCGTTCATCTCCTTTTCGAGCCTCTCTCTCTCTCTCTCTTTTTCACTCGATAAGTCAACAAGCTGTCCTTTCAGAAATTTAATCTCCGTTTCGGCATCGCCGAGTATTTTCTTCAACTCATCGATCTCTTCCTTTAACTCGTTGTTCTGACTCTTGGACTTATCGAAATCGGTCTTCGCTATTGTTAAATCGAACTTAAAGGAATCGAGTTCTGTCTCTATTTTACTATTTTCGTTTCTCAAAACGGCATTTTCGTTCTTTAATTCAGTATATTGTTTATTCGCATCATTCAATTCCTTCTTTAAGCTCTCGTTTTCCGCGCGAGTTTTATCCAGTTCTGTCTTCAGCGCTATTAATTCGCCGCCTAGAACGATCATTTCCTTCTCAGTAACTTCCTTGGCAGCTTTATTTAATACAACTTCTTTACCTAATCTGCCGACTTCCATTCGTAAAACGTCTAACTCGTTCAGAAGCGCTTTCTTCTCTTCTAGACATGCAGCCATGTCATATTGTAATTTATCCATTTTATTCTGCGTATTAATCGATATTTCTCTTAAATTTTTTACTTCATCATTCAGTTTGTTATACATTAGTGTAACTGAATCCAAATTATTCTGCAGCTTTTCTAAATCTGCTCTCAATTTATTGTTTTCCGATTCTTTATTAGATAAGTCTGACCTAATTTGTTCCAATAATATCTGCTCAGCCATCAGATTGGATGTTAAAGTTCTAATTTCAGCTTTCTGTCTATCATCCTCGCCTTTTAGTTTGCTAAATTCTTCCTCAAATTTCTGCCGTTCTTGCATTAAATTCGTGTTCTTTAATTTCAAATCATCAAGCTCAGATATTAATTTTGTTGATTCATTTTTTAATTCGCTGTTCTCAACTATTAATGTATTTGTTTTCGATTTTAATGCGTCATTATCAGTTCTGAAAGCTAATATCTCATTTTTTATGTTTTCAAGCTCTATTTTTGATATTGATATTTGACGCAACAGATTTTCCTCTTTGCCTCTCATCTTATCATTCTCCGTTCTTAATTTAATCAATTCAGTTTTCAATGCTTCAAGTTCTTCTTTCAGTGCAATGATCTCGTCGCTGACTTTCACCGATTCTTCTACAGCCTCTTCTTTAGCAGATTTTTCGGCGAATAAAATCAGATTTAATTTTTCCAGTTGATTTTTAAGCTCTGTAATTTCTTCTTCAAGCTTAATCTTTTCATTCTTATAAGTTGTTATCTCCCTCTCTAATGACTGTCGTTGAACCTATGAATCATCAAGGTGATTATTATCAAAAACAAAAAGTTAAACGCGAGGAATATAAATTAATTATCTCTACCTTACAGACGTTTAAATTTTCCTTTGTCTTTTCATTCTCAAGAGATAACTTATCCATTTCCATCTTCAGTTTGCAATTCTCTATTTTCCAATATTCTATATCTTCTTCCGACTTAGATAACTGCGATTGAAGATTAGATATTTCCGACCTCAAATTATTAATTTTGTTCGTCATCTCAGCATTTGCACCTTTTAAATTCGACAATTCCTCGCCCAGATTCAACAGTTCTTTCTTGAGGGCATCTCTCTCGTCTTGCAGAGCAAGATTTTGCACTTTTATCTCATCGATCTTCGAGATCAAATTTTTCATTTCGTTTTTCAATGCCGTTAACTCTTCCTGAATGTCTCGTTTAGCAGCAATTTCTGCACTCACGTCCAGTTTTAGTTTGCTGATCTCATCTTGCAAAACGTTGATCTCGTTTTGTACCTCGTCCTTATCAGTCTGTAAACTAATGATCTGAGGCTCGAGCAATTTAACTCGCTTCTCGGCGTCCTCAAGTTGGTTTCTTAATTTATTTACTTCATCCGTCAATAACTTCGCTTGTTCTTCCATTTCGCCTACCTTTGTTTTTAACTTATCATTTTCATTTCTGTAGTTGTCTGTTTCAGCTTTGATAGCTTCGTTGTCTACTGCCATTCGGTGAGTATCTGTTTTTAGTTGTTCATTTATAACTTTCGCCTCTTTCAATTCATTATTTAACCCAGCCGTTTCTTTCCGCAAATCTATAACTTCGTTATTTATTCTTATTAATTCGTTACTTCTATCATCTATCTCCTTCCTCAGATTTTCTATTTCGGATAACAATTTTGTTATTTCTATCTTTCCATCATCCGCCTCTTGTAATAATTCTCTGTTCTCCAACTTTAACTTTGCCATTTCGCTTTGCAGAGCATTGAAATCTGAGAATAACTTATTATTATTTATATTAGCCTTCTCCAATTCTTCCGTAAGAATTACATTCTTGATTTTAAACCCATCCAGTTGTTTCTCTGCGTCATCTAACGCTGAATCTGTCTTAGACAAATCATCTTTAAGAAGAATATTCTCAGATTTAAAGTTGTCTCTCTCAACTGTCAAATTATCTCGTTCCACTTTAACGACAACATTTTCATTTTTTAGTTCATTGTTCTCAATATTCAATCTATCCATTTCTTGCAGTAATCTATCGAGACCGTTCTTTAATGCAGTTCTTTCGGATTTTAACTGATCCGTCTCCGCCACTCGCTTCTCTAACTCATCCCGTAAATGCTTATTCTCAGATAATAATTGATCAACCTCCGCTTTAACATTATTATTTTCGTCTTTCGCAGATTCCAATTCCTTAATCATATTATCAAGATTGTTTTTCAGGGCAACATTTTCTTCTTTAAGTTCATTAGTCTCCAATTTAGCATTTTCCAATGCCTTCTTCAAGAATTCATTCTCAGTCCCAAGACTATGCAAATTGTCTCCCGCATCCCCCAGCTCCTTTTGCGCCACTTGAAATTTTTCTTCCTGGAGACGCAGGTTAACATTCAACTTATCGATCTCGTTCCTTAACTCGTTATTTTCGTCTTTCATTCTCTTCAATTCCTCTTGTGTTTCTCGTATTTCTTTATCTAATGACGCATTCTTAATACTTAATTCATTGCACTCGGATTTCATTGTTTCAATATGCCGCCTCAGGGATTCGCTTTCGTTGTTTAGTTTATTTATTTCATCATCTCTCTCCGACATAACGTTCTGTATCCTTCCTAATTCATCGAGAAGTTCCTTTTTCTCCGTTTCGAGATTATACAGTTCAGACTTCATATCTTCGATCTTGCTCTGCAACTTGCTCACGCCTAACATTGCTAGTTCGGATTGCCGCAGGCTGCCAAGAAGCTCCGTAATCTGCAAACAAGTCCAATTGTCATGAATACCGAGTTGCGAGTTGAACAAGTCTAAACATCTCCCAATATTCGTCTTATTGTTCGATAAAATAAAATTATCTACATGTAGCACATTTACATAACTTTCACATGCGATTGATTGCAAATATCTCTGCGAACGCAGACAAAAAAAGCGAAATACCTTAGCGTCAGATTCCTCTTTTTCGATCTCAACCACTTGGTCCACCGTGTCTTTTCGGCTGACGGTCACCTGATCCATATCTAATGCCAATGCAGCGGAAACCGCTTTCTGCTCTTCAAGTTCGCTCTTTAGAGCCTCCGCGTAAGCCGTTTTCTCGTCCAAATGCGTTTTCAATTCAGTCAGAAGCACTTCGCAGTTCTGAAGCCGGTTTAGTAACGTCGACGTATCTATTTCTTCCTCGTCTATAGACGGTGGAGCGACACTGTCTTTTAAGATCGGTACAGCAACCTCCTTGATTGAACGACGAATTTGCATCAACTCTGCTTGCAAACGCTCGTTCTCTATTCGTAGATTTTCGTAGCTCTCTGAGAGATCCACCGACGTCTGCATTGATCTCTCGACAACCACGGACACCTGTTGATCGGCTTTCTGACCATCTTTCATTAACTCGCGAAGCTTTGCCCTCAAACGGTTTAATGCCGCGCAGGAAGTATCCTCCTCGGCTTCCGCCAGTTTCAGCTTAAAATGCGATATCGTGTCTCGCATTCTGTCGAAATATTAACAGTTTATACGTAATTATATTGATGCTCCGCGTTTAATGAAGATGGATGGTTTTCAAGGAAAGATTGCGAGTAAATAAAGTGTGATTAATCTTCCTTCAAAGCTATAACTTTGCAAAGTATAAGACAAAAAGCACTTTTAACCATTAATTTCTAAACGATTAAGTGAATATTAAATTCATAGAATACGATGTTATTTTTTTCTACTTATTATTATTCCTATTTTTCAAAACGAATACGTGAAAAGAGGCATTCGCCGTGTTGGCGAAATTTCAATTAGCATTAGTACTGTTTCTTTTCGGCAACGAAGCGATCTCTCTGCGCTGCTATTTTTTTCCTCATGTATTTAACTTTCTCGCAAGGATCGTCGCAGCAATCTCGTTCGGCGAGGCTCTCCTCGAGGTTGCAAATTTTTTCTGCCAGTTCCTCATTTGCATTCTGCAGCCTTTCGTTTTCCTCGCGATAATGCACGAGCAAGGGATCGGGACCAAATATTCTGTCGGACTTCGCACCTACATGAAAATTATTTGACCGCTCGAAATATATTCGTAATCCTCTTTTATACAGCTAAAAAGAACGCGGGTCTCTTGCGGTGCGCTATGCATACCGATTCCGCAGAATTAAACGGGAAGAACAAGAATAAAATTTATTATGTAGTATATATATATATATCATAATATGTAATAAATAACATATATAAAATATATAATATATAGTAATAAGAAGGCACATCTCCACATTGAATTATATAATTAAATTGAAAAATTATTTCATCCGGGTAAACTTTTATGCAAAACCGAGCAATACAAAACGAAGTTTTTATTGTAGAAATTTTTATGCTAGAAGTATTTCATGAGTGGAACATGACCGACCTTATTCCTCGTATGATACGGTAGGTATATATAAGAGACGTAATAATAAAGAAGCAAACAAAAAGAGAGAAATATTCGGCTATGGAGTGGAACATCGATACCGAATGATTGTAGGGCTTGTTTCAGAGACCTATTTTCGCTCTCAAGTTGCAATCGTTCCATGCGCCACTTCTTCATCTGGCACTTCATTACCGTCAGCTTTCGCAGAGCAAACGACAGATCGTAGATCTCCGATTCTTTCGAGTTGTCGCTGAAAGGATTGTAATCGCAGCAGCAGCAAGGCTCGTGCGGAGGTTCGATCGATTTCGGCGTTCTCGGTGCATGGCATCCGCATGAACAAAACGGTGGTGTATATCGATCCTCCATGGCCTCTGTTATAATTTTGAGGAGACCATGCTTAACCTCTCAGCGTCATGTGACACAACGAATTTATTTCCTAAAATATCCGCGTCTCTGTAACAATTCCGATAACGATTTTAAAAGCGTATAAAAATTTAACTTGATTACTTTTACATCTATTAACTAATCTAATAATCTAAAATCTAATTTTGTATTATACTTCTTCCAACACATTGAGTCGACAAACATTATTGGAAATTAAGATGAACTAATTCGGATCAATTCATGGAGAATTCACGTCTGTTGAGTGATCTAAAACTGTTGATTTAACAAATTTTTTGCCGATTTTTTTTACATAAGTTTTGCGCGAGAAAATTCGGACGACATCGGTCATATTTTTGGACTAGGTTGAAATTATTCTCGACGAGTTCAACACTGACACACACACGAGATCGATATAACTCGACTTATTAATACCGCGAATTAAACTTCGGATGATTACATTGAGAATTCTAATTCTAAGATTATACATTGAGAATTTCGGTCGCATCTCGAGAATCTCACGTTAGAGATCCCATCTCAGGGGTGGCTTATGGCAGCTTTTGGATGGAGACATTAGAGGACACGCGCATTATTCACCAAGTTTCCTCTCGCGAAGTTCGCGCACCGGGAAACCGGAAGTACCGGTTATGTACGACCCACATAATTAAGCGGTCGCTATAATTGAATTGCGCGCACAGTATGCCCGGCGAGTCCTCGTTAGAACAGTCTTATTAGGTGTTCCGATATTGAGGGGCCGGCGCAGCGATACTGAACGCTTCTTAAGTTTCGAGAGTTTCGAGAGCACTTGAACCACGGTTCGGTTCTGTTCAAGAACTTATCGAGAGGTCCCGTCATCAATTAAATCTGCGCGGTAATTGCAAAGGAAAGAGGAAAACAGCGGCGGTACTGGGATCCCGAACTTCACGAAACTTTGCGCCACGTTTTTGCTCACCCTTTTGCTTTTGCCGCTGTTACTCGTGCAAAATCATCATTTCGTTAAGCGAATTCACGTAACGAAACAACGGGAACCGACTCTTACAAGATGTATTATTAATGTAAATATGTTGTAAAGAAATATGATCTGCTGTGTCACGTTGATCGCACGCTGACAAATTTCGAAACGAATTGAAGATATCTCTATTTGTATTTTTCTGTCATGTCTATGTAAAAATCGATTTTTCTTACTTTTGGATACATTCGCTCCTTCTCTCCAAGATGTTCCAATATATACCTATACAAATTTTCAAGTGTTAGTTTTTCAAATATTGACAAAATGTTTATGGAAAATTTCAAAGTTCCTGTAATAAAGTTCGGATACACGTCATAATAAGAAAAGGAATATTCATCGATATATTTGTGCCAGTCACGATGCTTGTATTTAATGTATAAACAACACTAACGTTAACCACAACAAAATTAATTAATATAAAAGGTATATAATAATCTTTTGTTAAACATTTTCAACAGTTTTACAACATTTTTTCATCTGTCATTAATTAATTTAGCAAAATTGTCGCCCATAACATATGTTACATATGTTACATAACCCCGGGAAAATTGAAGAAGCGACACAATGAGCGACGGATATCTCGACGGTTACTTGCCAGTGATCGCGATTGACGTCGCCATCGAAGAGAAGACGAGAATCGCCGAGATGGCTGTTGCAACTTTGCATAAACTGCACAACATGATGCGGCAGATGAAGGATTGGCGGGAGGATAGCGCGAAATTGAAGAGCAATATCTGGCGAATGAAAATGGCTCTGCGGGCGGATGACAAGAACGAGAACGATAACCAGCAGATCGACCCTTTGATCGTGCATCAGAGGGCAGAAATTATCCGGTTGGAACAGGCGAACGACACTTTGGGGAACGAGGTAACGAGTCTGAAAGATGCCCTGACGAAAGCCGAAGAGGATATCGCACGTGTCGCCGTTTCCGAGATGAGCGATAAGATCGCCAGAATCGAAGACGCGTTCTCGTACGAGAGGGAACGTCTGAACGACGAAATTCTGCACCTGAGGAGGCAACTGAGGGAAGCTGAGAAAGGCGAGACGAGCGTACTCAAACAACTCAGGGAGAAGCTGAACGAGTTCGAGAGAGGCGATCGAACATTAGAAGCATTATTTGCGAACGCGATCGGCAAAATCGTCGAGACGGTCGTCGGTCTTTCAGAGGAACTCGTGAATGTTAGCGAAAGCATGTATCGATTTAAGGCAAAAAATAGAAACTTGCGTCTCAAGGTGAACAAATTCAGAGCTATGCTAAGGTTGAGATGCGGTAGCAGCACGGAATATTGCAAGAGGATCGGCGAACTGAACAATCTTGCGGAACAACTGATGGGAGAGATGGGCCGATTGAAAGTTATTCGCGAGAACGCGAATTGCGGCGAAAGTTCAGACGCTACGGATATTTCAGATGTTGTTAGACACGTGGAAAGCTTGATGAACGACTTGAGGAACAATCTGAAGAACGATCACCAAGCGATTATCGCCGCCGGCGATCCAGACTGTTTGAAATACATGAAGAAAGTAGTTAATCTGAAAGTAAACCTGAGAATGTTGTCCGTAGAACTTAGACGATCGAACGTGCCGATACATAAACGATCGTGCGAGAATGTCCAATGCAAAAAGTATTTAGAAACAGCTTTATCGTTGAATAATTTTTTAAAAGAAATCGACATGGAAATTGAGAAAATAAAAATTCAACCGATGGACAAGTATTGCAGAATCGGTGGCATCAGCGGCTCGCAATTTATGACAAAAGTCATAGAGCTTGAAAATATTGTTAGAAAATCAACCGCGGTAACCGCGATCATAAAACAGAGCCCGTTCAAAATTATAAACGCTAATGGGAAAATAATGCAAGAGCTGGAAGACTTGATCGATCGATTGTGTTGCAAAATCAAGGACCTCGAAATTTTCGACGATCGCGCAAATTTATGCGAAAGAATCGTACACCTGGAAACTTTGATCATGGATCTGAAATTAGAACTGATGGAGAAAAACGAGCGTATAAATGCGCTGAACGATGACTATGTAAGCGTTAAATTAACATTAGAAGGAAATTGTAAGAAATACGAGAGGATCATCGATGACATATGTGAGGAAAAAAAGAGTCTTCGAGAAGATATAAAGAGAAGGAAACAAGAAATATTAGAATTATCGCGTGAACGCGAATATTCCGAGCAACGTGTCGCGGAAATGCAACTGATGAAGGTTGAAATTGACGCGGTAAGGAAAAAATTGCGGGACCTTCGCGATGACAAAGAGACGCTATTAGGGAAAACAGAAGAGATGCGTAATACTCTGCGCGAGAGAGACAAGGAAATTGAGGATATTATTATTCAGCGTAATGCGCTGAAAGGGGACCTCGGGGCCGAGGTGGAGGACCTGAAGATGAAACTTGGGATCGCTTCCGACGAAAATGTAAAATTGAGAAGTATAATTGAGGGACTTCGGAAACAGGAGGAAAGCGAGTGTCTGGACAAATTGAAAAGTTCCGTGGAGGAGAGCGACGATGAGAACAACCGAAACAATGGCGAATATGCGCGAAACCTCAGGGATGAATTAGAGCGCTTGAAAGCCGAGTCAAATGAGTTTGAAGTAAGCCTGAACGAAGCGAACGAGCGAATCGACTACCAGAAATGCCCGTTGGATAAAGCAATCGGCGACAGGGCGAGATTGGAAGATGAAATTTCTAATCTAAAGTCTAATGAACAATCGTTGACGTATCGATTGAACGTCCAGACGAGCGTCAACAAGGAAACATCGAGGGAATTCAAACGAAGTAGAGCGACGACGGGGAACAAAGCGTTCGGGAGTAAAGTCAAACAGCTTCAGAACGAGAAAGAACAACTGGAGGCGGAGCTGTCGAAGTTGAGATCCGAAAAAGGATTACTGGATAAGTCGATGGCCGATGCCAATAACAAGTGCGCCGCGTTGCATGATCAAATTAACAAATTGAAGTCCGAGCGTAACGACCTGCGGGAGAAGATAAGCGAGCAGGAAACTGCAGCGGAGAATTTAAAGTTCGAGTTGAAGAAGGCACGAGAGGATCTCGAAAACGCGGCCGCTCAATCGACGCGACTGCGATCGGAGAACTCGAGGATCGTCGAGGATTTCGACGCACTGTCTCTCCGAACCAGCGAGGCCGAGGATCGCGTACGAGTGCTGTTGACAGAAAAGAACGAGCTGGTGACGCGTATTAACGAGCTCGATGATGAGAACGTAGCTCTGCGAGAGCGCTTGAATAAAGCGAAAGCGGAGAATGAATATTTTTCCGCGGAATTGAATAAATCAAGAGTCGAAAATGACAAAGCGGAGGCGAGAAATGTTCTTCTGCGGGTCACCTGCGACGAAAGAGAAAGGGATAACGTTCAGTTGAGGAAAGAGAGAGACTCCGCGAGGGAGAGACTTAATGAAATCGGTAATCGATTGCAAATCCAGCGAACCAAGTACGAGACGTTGCGATATGTCGCAGCCGCGTTACGCCACGAAAATAACGAGAGCAAGAGTCACCTAAATAAAGTTGACATGGTGTATCCGTTTGTAATAGACTACGAGCGGGAACTCGCGAACGCTCATAACAAGGTTAAACACAGGCAGGATTACTCGGATGCCACGCGTAGCGTAAAGGTCGAAATTGGCGAGCGGAGGCAAGGCGACACAGAACTCAAAGTAAAATCTGATACATACACGTGCCACGATGACAAAGTAAAGATCAAAGACAAGCCCAATGACGAAATAAAGAGGTCGAGAACGGGGAATAAGGCTTTGAAATTGGAACGGGCAAATTTGAGATCCAAAAACTCCGAGATTACGATGGAACTGGCTTGCACAAAAGACGAATTCGAGAGTCCGGTAACGTGGACGAAAGGATCTAACGACAAAGAAATTATCGGCTCTATCTTGAGGAAATTTGACATCGTAAATATCTGGTATAGAAAAGAGATAAGCAATTATTTCCGTTATTTCCACGAGCTACCGAAGATGCTCGACGATAAAGAAAGGTCTACGGTCACTATCGATCAGCTCCGAGTCGAGAATAGAGCCCTGAAGATGAAAGTAGATATTCTGCGTGATAGTCTCAACTTCGGTCTGATGAACGGCGAGAAAACGAAGACCGACTTCGGTAGAGCAACGGAGGAGATTCAGGCTTTGAAACTCGAGCTGATAAATCTAAGGGACGAGAAAGCGGCGTTGAGGTCACGACTCGAGATGTTTAAGAAAGAATTAAACGCATTAAAATCCGAAAAGATGGCTTTAAAGGATGAGCTCGCCGCTTCGAGGAAGTCGAACTTCGATCTTAGACTCAAAGTGAACGGCTTACTAAGTGTTAACGAAAAGTTAAAGGAGACAAATGTGGGATTAGAAGGTCATTTGCGGGACACATTGAGAGAGATGAATGAACACGCCGCACTATTTGTAACATCGGAGAAAAGCTCGAGAAATTATTTTGAAAGCACATTAAATGACGATTCAAAGAGGTGCAATTTTCCCAAAAGAAATTTACGTACGGTCAATCGACTTGATTATGCTTTCTCTAAAAATCGTGGGCTTCAATTCATCGAAGAAGACCTACAACATATAGAAGGACAAAAAGCTATGAGTTAAATCCTGATATTGACAGATACAAAATATATTTTATCCGCATCATTATCTAATTCACATCATGAAATTATGATTTGTATATTGAAATTGATTTGTATAGCTGCAAATTATAGCTTGTAAAATGTTAAAAATTAAAAATTTGTGCAAGTATAATTTTATTACGCTCTGATAACTTGTCGCAGCTTTGAATACCTTCGTATACTTTATTTACCTTCTTTACTTGATAAAGGTTTCACGTAAAGTTCTTCTAAAATTCATAAAGGTAACTCGTGTTCTCTTAGCAAGCGCCAAAGAATCATTTTAAGAGCAACTGACAAAACCTCCTGAAAGCGCGCAGCTACTTAATCTTCAGCGCTTTTAGAACGACGAGTAGTTAAAGCCAAACAGGACAATGACAACAGCGGCGTGACGACGATAAGGACGAAGTGCGGTGTCGGTGGAGCGCGTAATAATGCATTTTAATCGCGTGCGCATGTCGAGCCATTATCGCATACTCTACGACCACGGCATCACGTCGAAAATTCTCATCTGAGATTATTTCAGCAAAAAGCCGAAGCTCGTTCTGCGGCATAGTTGCTCTGCTCATCTATCATTCCCCTAGACTGCCAGAGTGCAACGTGGCACGTTGCAAATAAACGCGGATAGTCCTCGAGCATTCCTGCAACCGTATCCATCTCTTTTATATCTCTCGGTCTTTAACTTTTAATTTTTATCACTATAAAGTGCGCCATAATTAGATTACAATTAGATATTCGCGAAGAGAAAACGATGCTCCTCTTTTATTCATGTGACTTTGCGAAGCATATCGTTTTTAAACGCCAACAGAAATAAATAATAATTTATGTAATGTAATCAATTTTCGAATATATTATAAAAATCAATAAATGATTATCTTCACTTATTTACTTATTTTAATTGCGACGCTTGTTTTAATCACAATATTCAAACTTATTTCGCTACAATTATCCTTGTTTGTATTCTCTGTTAATAAATTTATTAAATGCCGCTATGTATGTTTTGTAAATTATATGCATATGATTTTTACTTGAATTCAAATGCTAAAATTTTATCGCGAGAGTTGAATATTCTATTTGCGTTTTTTGAAGCATCTCTGGTGTCGTACTGCGGTTACTTAAAAGTGGTCTCGCTCGTAAAATATCATTGCTTCTTTCGTTAAATTTCTCCTTTCGTGTGTAATAAAAATTTCACGTCGCATATTCGCTTGAACGATACAAGAAATAAAATAGTAAATTTCAGTATATTGCGTTTATAATATATGGCTCTTAAATTTTTGTCAAATTATATTGATCAAATTGATTAAATATTTTATGTGCATAATTACAATAGCCTGTTCTTTCTTTATCATTTTCTTCTCCTTCTACTAATTTTAATTTTCCCTTTGCCTAATAAGCACACGATCATCTTATCGCAATTAGTCAGCAACATATATCAACATATATACTATTAAAAGTTAAAATCAACATATATACTATTTATCTGGGCGAAGAGGCAAACATTCACTAATTAACAAAGCTCGAGATGACTGCGCTTTATTGTATGTGTAATAATTAATAAATATACGAGATATTTGTGAAAAGACAGATTAAAATGTTATCGGATGCGACACCAAGCAATCGAACTTTTTATTTTAAAATAATTTTACATCAAAACAATCAAAATATTTTTAACGTGAAAAATCATATAAAATTCTTATCAAACTATTTCTGTTTATTTTATTATCTTGATATCATCTCAATTAAAAGAGAATCACAGAAATCAAATATTGCATGAGTTATTTTGAACTAAAATTTATTATTTGTTATTATTATTTTTTTTAAGTATTTTATATGAAATTTGGTGGAAATATAATAATATATACTTTCTATTTTTATTTTCATCTATTACACAAATTTTGTTTTGAAATTTATAATTTATAGATAGAATTTATAGATAGAATTTGTGAAAGAGAATAATCATATCTGACAGAATAAAACCGAATATTATATAGTTTATTTAACCAGACCAACACAGTCTCGAAATTGTTATATAAAAAAATATGGTAATCGTGTATACGCAATCGTGATAGAGTTTTTATGCTCTGCGTGTAATTTTTTTATTTTTGCAATACGCACGTGGAATACGCACGAAATAAAAGCGCACTCGTATGCGATATGAAAAAACGTATTCGGAAATATATTTTGTAATAACTTTCGTTGATAAATCAACTGATCGCGTGTAACAGTGAACGCGCATAAAACCATTGAATTGTCGTAACGACAGATGTTACAACGGGTACTTCTTTGTTTTGCGACTCTGCACGCGAGATACACATCGATGAGAATTTTTCTCGCGACTCCACGTTACGGCAGATCAAATATATCCGGAAAAAGATTATTTATACACACCTATATATATGTATTATATATGTATATATTATGTATGCATACAATTATACATTATATAAATGATATTTCAAATGAATAAGATATCTCCCCAGACAACAAAACGTCTAAAATCGGGACATAAGACGTCTTAAAGGAGAACATCATTAAGATGTATTTTAAACATCATAATAAAATATATATTTAAGACGTCAATAAGATAGCTTTAAGACGTCTTATGTCTCGTTTTTGGACGTGATGTTGTTTGAGTCCTCTATTCGGTCAACGCGAAATTAATATACCTAAACATGATTTCAAACATTTATTTTATCCTGTATATTCCCCGTTATGAATGCATGACTTATCTAGACTAGAGTCCTACTGTATATCAATACTTTAAGTACTCGAAATAAATGATTAATTAGCGTTACTAGTGATAAATTTCTATAAGGGATATAGGACTTATATAGGATTTTATCTTTATGTAGTCTCGACATATGTTTTTCTTTATTTCAAAATTAAATTAGAGATATTAAGGTGTCAGTTTATCTTAAAATATCTTTAACAGGAAATTGGAATAATATATAACTTCAAAAATATATAACTCAATAAAATATATAACTCAAAAATATAAACTTCATAATAATATAATAATAATACTTTGGAATTGAAAAAACGATATCTTTCTCCATCATGTGCGATGCGCATTGTAATTTCCTGCTAAAAATATTTCAAGATTAAATTGATACTTTAATATCTTTAATTTAATTTTGAAATAAAAAAGACATATCTATATAGACAATTCATTCAAATCTGTACATCTAAAAATAAGAGATTATTTCAGAAATTTATCACAAAATATAAATTTTGCATTTCTTTTTTTTATTGCTTCTAAATTGACGTTTCTAAAATTATTTTCATTATAACCATGCTATTGTAACACAGAGACAATAAATACGCAGGTCGTTGTAAATAAAGCACACGATGCATCGAGTTGCACAGTCAGATTGCGTTTCGCAAACGCCGTCCACGTGTGCTGGCCCACGATTAAACAGACTTTAATTGTGGAAAATCACCGTAATCACGAAACACGCTGGCGTAACTCGTTTTTTTCCCCCACCTTAGTATCATCCCCGATGTCAACGAGAACAACTAGTAAATGAAGGTTGAAAGAGAGAAATTTTACAAAAAATATAATTATATACCTATATATCAATTACGCGCGTAATATTTATAATAAAAGACTATACATATATACACAGACTCAAATATCAATGTTGTGAAAATGAATTTTTATATTAGACGTAATTTACATATGGAACGCATAATTTTGACCGTAATTTATGAGCAAAGGTAAATTCAATGCGGTGATGTAATGTTGAATTGCCTTTGACAAACCATCCGAAAATATGAGGTAACTATTCGTTATATATTGAATTTTATAAATAAAAATATATTTCACGCCTACTTATATCAAACTAAATACAAATTAACAGAAATTTAAAAAATATTTTTAGTAATAAAAAAACATAATAAGAAAAATATACTTTATGTAAATTAAATAAAATTTCATAAAAATACATTATTATCGTATAATAAAATATGTAAAATAATGGTACACAAAATGGACATATAAAATACAAAAATACATGTATACACAAAATAAATAAGAAAAATTATCTTTTTAAATTTTAAATTAATTTAAAAGGATAATATTTAAAATTAATATTTTATTTAAAAACGGTGAAATAAAATTATTTACACGCGCACACGCGAGAAAAGCACACACACAAAAATATAGAAAAATAAATAAAACACAAGATTATATATATATATATATATATTATTACTATATTTCATTTAATTAAATTTAATAAAATTCATGAATTATTTTTGAGTGTGATCTTTTGATACCAATAAATTTAAAAAATGTTTTATAAAGTATTAATATATACCTATATATACTTTTATATCTATTAAATTTTATTAACTATGATTGATATGCATATTTTCATTTAAAATTTAAATATGAACTTAAATCAAAACTGAAATTGATAAAATCAAGAATATATATATATATATATTAGACTTATATTAATTATATATTAGATCTGCTTACATCTATTTTGAAATCTCGATTCTCTTTCAACAGCACATGCGTATACGAATAAACTCTACACATTATTACACATGTATACTACCGAAAATAAATGATTCGAAGCGGCAAGCGGCAACCTCGATATCAAAAAATAAACTCTGCCCTAATCGATCAATCAAACGCTACTGTACGCGCCGAGTATCGATTATCGAATGCAATCTTGACGCCGCGCGTCTAGTGTCTATTTCTCATAAAGCCCCATTTTCAAACGATGACAGTTGGCAGCAGTGCGTCGCGAGCAGGGACTTGTTTTGGCGCCTCGCGTCGACATTGGCAGCACGAAAATGACGATCTCGACTTGAGCAAGTGTGCGCTTGACTTCATTCGTTCGGCGACAATGGCGGCAGACCTCGATCAGTTTCAACAGCTTTTGAATACACTCCTCAGCACAGATAACGATGCCCGGACGCAGGCGGAGGTACGTACGACAGCGGAGAGCCTCGCGGCCGCGCGACGCGGACGTCGCTCGCGTCGCCAGGAACGCGAATACAACGTGCAACGTGCTCCGCGGTGCGTTCACGGTGCCGAGCACGTTGCCGATGTGTTGTGTCAGAGCTCTCGCGTGTGGGATGTCTTCGATGCCGAGGCTCAGCGCATCCGCGTGTTCGACCCTTCGTTTCGCCGGACCGCGATGCCGTCGTCCAGGAGGCGGAGCCCTCGAGGAAGAGGGATCTCGACGCGCTGACAGGTGTATCCGCGCGCGCGATCGCTCGGGGAATCCAAAATGGTGTCTTGCATGCGGGTAGCGCGCGCGCGTGTGTGTCATCGGGGTTCCGCGTGTTCCGGCCTAAGGATGCCTCCCCGATGACGGACGACGTCGCGCGCCATATGAATTTCTCCGCGAACTCGATCAACCTGGAGCGTCCTCGCGCACGTCCAAAGTATCGCCTTACGTCTCCGTACGCGGGTTGCACGCGATTCCGCGTGTCTCACTTCGCTTTCCCGCCTACGCAGGATTCCCGCGATTTCCGGCGGTTTCGTTTCCGCAGGGCGAACCGCATGTCCTGTCGTCGCGGTCTGTCGGATATCATGTATACGGATGATCGCAAAGTTTAATTTGCTCGCTTGATTGTTGCTCGCGCGCATATCTTTCTATATACATGCACGTTTTACCTTGACTCACGGCCCGATCACGTGTCAAGCATTAACCGAATATTCATATATGCACGCTTATATAGTATGCACTTGGCGTGAAATGAGTCAGATTGCGCTTGGTAAATTTAATTTTGGAGCGAGCTTTGATTTTAGTATCTATAAATGCATATACACAAACATATTGCATACTTTCTTTAGTATTTATAAATACACACATTGCATATATTCTTTATATATATATATATAAAACAATAGGATAAAGATACCTCTTTTTGATATAACATTCTTACATTATAATTTTTGATATTAATATTATGGACTAGTTTAAATTTCTTATAATATATTTCTTTAAAATTTGCTCAATAAAAAATATATAATTTTGTTAATGCTTTTATTTCATCAAGAAATAAATACTATATATTTTTAACTATAGAGTTTTGAATAACTAACATTTTTAAAAAATATTTAGGATGCGTACGGCAATCTTCCTGTGGAAAGCAAGGTGACATTTCTTTTAACTACAATATGCAATAACACACTTGCTGAAGAAATGCGGGCTATGGCCGCAGTATTGTTGCGTCGACTATTTACCTCAGAATTCATGGATTTCTACTCTAAGGTAGATTGTAATTTTTTCTTTTTCTAATTTTCATTAAAATAACCTTTTTGCTAGAGTACACTTTTTCCAATCTTGTATTAATTAATGTACAATTATTTCAGATTTCACCAGAGGCACAAGTTCAGTTAAAGGAACAAATTTTATTATCAGTTCAAAATGAACAGACAGATACTATACGACGAAAAGTTTGTGAAGTTGCGGCCGAAATTGCCAGAAATTTAATTGATGAAGATGGCCAGAATCAATGGCCAGAATTTCTTCAGTTCCTATTTCAATGTGCAAACAGTCCATCGCCATCATTAAAAGAAAGTGCTCTCCGAATGTTTACGTAAGTTTCCTTTAAATTCATTGTATAGAATAAATAAAATATTTATTAAGAAAAGAAAAATAAAGAATATATTATATATTACAGATCCGTCCCAAGTGTATTTGGAAACCAACAAGCAAATTACCTTGATCTTATTAAACAAATGTTACAACAGTCTGTCCTAGATGCTGCAAATTATGAGGTAACATACAATTAACATGTTTTATTTCTTTTAATGGAAGGTAGATACACGAGTTTTTACTACGTGTCATATAATTCGTCACTTAATCCTTCCAAAAAAAAATTGCCTTCTGATGACTGTAATTTGTGAAGTATTAATTTACAGACAGATACGGGGCATACATTTTGTATGAAGCAAATTTTTATATAGTAATGGTCTAAAAAGAAATAAAAATCTTTTCTTTAATTAAAAAAAGTTTTTTTTATAAAAATTTTATTATAAAGAGAGTAATTATAATGGTTGCATTGTTTTTATCACACAGGTCAGATTTCAAGCAGTAAGAGCAATTGGAGCGTTTATAATATTGCATGACAAAGAAGAGCATATACACAAGCATTTTTCAGAACTAGTTCCAGCACTAGTACAAGTAACTGCTCAATCTATAGAAAAGCAAGATGATGATGCTCTTTTGAAAGTGTTAATAGATCTTGCTGAAACCACGCCAAAATTCCTCAGGGGACAATTGGATAATATTATGCAATTATGCATGAATGTATTCTCCAATGAAGAGATGCCTGACAGTTGGAGACACATGGCATTAGAAGTCTTGATAACTTTAACAGAAACTGCACCAGCTATGGTACGGAAAGTTGGTGGAAAATATATTGCATCCTTGGTAACATTGATACTGGAGATGATGACTGATTTAGATGAAGATGAAAAGTGGAGTTTCTCTGATGAGATTATCGAAGAAGATAACGATAGTAATAACGTAGTTGCTGAAAGTGCATTAGATAGATTGGCATGTGGTTTGGGAGGAAAAACAATACTACCACTGATCGTGCAAAACATCCCTACCATGTTAAATAATAGTAACTGGAAATACAGGTAAATATTATATCATCAAATCTTTATTATTTTTTTTTATTTATGTATGAAACATGAATAAATTTATAAAAGTCACAGAAAAGTCAGCAATTGCATATATTTATGTAAGTAATTGCGTTACATCTGTGACAGAATAACCAACGAGATAATTCTCTTTTCCAGCTGTCGTTTTGACAGTTGATAATTGAGATTCTCGTGGATGTTTAAAAAAAGTAATGGCAGTTATATGTATTTCTATGACTGTTATAACTTAAGAAACATACAATACTTTTTATTTCATCCTTCAATATTTTTTAAAATTAAATTTTATAATATTTTTTAATTGTTTTACTTCTATTGCACATATAAATTATATGAAGTTTAAAGAAAATAAAAAAACTTTGTATTTTTAATTATCTAGACATGCAGCACTTATGGCTATTTCGGCTATTGGCGAAGGATGTCATAAGCAAATGGAGGGTCTTTTACCACAAATAATGGAAGGTGTCATACAATATCTGCAGGATCCAGTAAGTAATAACAAATGTATTTCTTGATTATATCTGGTAATATCCATTCATAAATTATCAATTTGAAAAAAATTATCTGTTTTCCATTTTATATCATAATTATATAATTTATTAGAATAAGCCATAAATAGAGTCAGCAGTCATATTTATTGTTTGAATATGATAGTGTTATATTTGTGGCAAATTAAACAAAGAAGAAATTCTTGCTGTATTATCGTTTTGGTAATATAGATCACAAGATACATTCTTTGTAGTTTCTGAGAGTTGATTGTTTACTATTAAGCAATCATAGTTTTGAAACATACATAACTTCTATTGGAATTTTTTTTATATAAATGCAAAATCTTTGGAAATATATTGAATAATATTATTTTTTAGCATCCTCGTGTAAGATACGCTGCCTGCAACGCAGTAGGACAAATGTCTACAGATTTTTCGCCTATATTTGAAAAGAAATTTCACGACAAAGTTATTCCTGGATTATTGATGGTGTTAGACGATAATGCAAACCCCAGGGTTCAAGCTCACGCTGGTGCTGCTCTAGTAAACTTTAGTGAAGATTGCCCAAAAAATATTTTAACACCCTACCTGGATGCCATAATGGCTAAACTTGAATCAATTTTGACTACAAAGTTCCATGAATTAGTTGCAAAGGGAACTAAACTCGTCCTCGAACAAGTAAGTTAAATCGTAAAATATAGATATATAATGTTTGAAATTTTCGTAAAATATAGATGTTGTGATAAATATTTAAAATTTTAAGTAAAATTTTTTTGCAAATTTTATATTTTTGCCGTTTTTATGTAGGTCGTTACAACAATTGCTTCTGTTGCTGATACTTGTGAAGAGCAGTTTGTAACATATTATGACAGGCTAATGCCTTGTTTAAAGTTTATCATTCAAAATGCGAATCAACAGGAACATAAAATGTTACGGGGCAAGACAATTGAATGTGTTAGCCTAATAGGTTTAGCTGTTGGTCCAGAAAAGGTAATTATTTTGATTTCTTATTTAATTTTCTAGACAAAAGAGAAACTCATTAATTATATTGTTCGATTTTAATAGTTTATTGCGGACGCTAGTGAAGTTATGGATATGTTACTAAAAACGCATTCAGAAGGTGATCTTCCAGATGATGATCCACAAACTAGTTATCTTATATCTGCTTGGGCTAGGATTTGTAAAATTCTTGGTAAGACATTATATGTAATTTTAAATATGACAAGTTTCTTTATATATTACAAGGACCTTTAACTGATTCATATCATTATTAATTGCATTACTGTTATACAAATTTTTAAAACTGTTTTTCTTAGGAAAGCAATTCGAACAGTACCTACCATTAGTAATGGGTCCTGTGCTACGAACTGCTGCTATGAAACCTGAGGTTGCATTGTTGGATAATGAAGACATGGAAGGCATTGAAAGCGATCTCGATTGGCAATTTGTTCAATTAGGGGAGCAACAAAACTTTGGAATTAAAACAGCTGGTTTAGAAGATAAGGCCTCTGCATGTGAAATGTTGGTTTGTTATGCACGAGAATTGAAAGATGGATTTGCGGATTATGCCGAAGAAGTAGTGAGATTAATGGTACCGATGTTGAAGTTTTATTTCCACGACGGTGTCCGAATTGCAGCTGCGGCAAGTTTGCCATATCTCCTTGATTGTGCTAAAATAAAAGGTAGGTATTCTTACTAAAAAAATAATTATGTATATTAATTATACGTATATAAAGTAACAATAATATACATATATTGTGTTTACAGGTTCACAATATTTGGAAGGCATGTGGGCATATATCTGCCCAGATTTGTTGAAATCTATCGACACAGAACCGGAATCAGAAGTATTGTTGGAACTATTGTCCTCCTTAGCAAAATGTATCGAGACACTGGGTGCAGGTTGTTTGAGCGGAGCGCATATGACTGAACTTTTACGGCTTATAGATAAATTACTTAATGAACATTTTGAAAGAGCAGTTGCTAGATTAGAAAAACGAAAAGATGAAGATTATGATGAGGTATTAATAAGACTCAATTATATGTATATAAAATTTAAGATTTTTTTAGAAATCTTTCTTTGTATATATTAATAATCTGTTTATTTATTAGGTCGTTGAAGAACAACTTGCTGATGAAGACAATGAAGACATATACACTCTCAGCAAAATCGCTGATATTTTGCATGCCTTATTTACAACTTATAAGTCTTCATTTTTCCCGTACTTTGATCAAATATGCGGACATTTCGTAAAATTACTGAGCCCTGAAAGATCATGGTCGGATCATCAATGGGCTTTATGTGTCTTTGATGATATAATAGAATTTGGAGGACCCGAGTGCGTAAAATATCAAGATCTCTTTTTGCGACCTATGATTCAATACGTCTCCGATAAATCTGCAGAAGTTAGACAAGCGGCAGCTTATGGTTGTGGAGTCTTAGGCCAATTTGGTGGAGAGGGATTTGCACAAGCATGTGCTGAAGCTTTACCAAAACTAATGGAAGTTATCAGTGATCCTGAATCTAGGTCACCAGAGAATGTAAACCCTACTGAGAATGCTATTTCAGCAGTGACTAAAATTCTTAAATATAACAATAAAGCAATCAACGTCGATGAAATTCTTCCACACTGGTGAGCTTTCATATTTCAACCACAATTTCAGAATTTGTTACATTTGATAAATACAAGTCAACTTTCAATCAAACATTTCTTTCTATAATAGGCTAACTTGGCTGCCAGTTGTTGAAGATGATGATGAAGCACCTCATGTTTATGGATACTTGTGTGATTTGATTGAAGCAAACCATACAGTAGTTTTAGGAACAAATAATGCGCATTTGCCTCGACTTATAAGTTTCTTCGCTGAAGCATTGTTCAGAGAAGCTGTGCCTACTGATCATCCTGTTATGTCAAGAATTCTTAGTATTGTTAGAGAAATACAGGTGGGTATACATTCATATTTATTTCACATTTTCAGTTCACATTTCTATTTATTTTTAAAAATAAATTTATTTTAAAACTTATTTTTCCAGAATAACGAGACAATGTTCCAAGCAACTATAATGCAATTAACAACAGATCAGCAACAAGCGCTTCACGAGGCACTTAGCACATTAAGTTGAATTTTTAACACCATAACAAAGTAAAAAGATAATTATTAAATGCCCGCGTTAATTACTCTCCCGGGGAAAAAATCAGATTTTAGGTAATTAGATTATACCTATAAATCGTTCGCTCCAGCCTAGCTATATATACATACAAATATATTTAAGTGTTTATATGATTATCCACATAACTTGTTGAACATATAATTCTGAATCATCAAATTTAACATTATCAGTTTTCTATTGTCAAGGATTGTTGCAAAACATTTGAAGTGAAATTTGTGTTTAATGTTTCATTTATAGTGCTTCTGTAAATGAAGATATAAGTCAAGAAATTTTTTTATTAATCCGGATGAATTTATATTGACGGAATTGGGAGAAATGTAGTTTATATATTCCTAAAAGATTTTAAACTTAATTACGTAAATGTATATATATATACACTTTTTTCATTTTTTTTTTGCATTACATTGGTTAACATTAATTGAAAAATTTATGAATGATGACGTCGACTTAGACCGAATTTTCAAGCGATAACGTTCTCCGCCATTGAGAGCCAAATGATGCTAAATTACAAAAACAGAAAAAATGGCTTTGTAAAAAATTGCATAGTGCAGCATATACACCATAGCTTTGTTATGTGAACTTAATATTAAGAGATTATAATTTTGATCTTATGATCTTTTTCAAACTGTCGATATTCTCAATTTGTTTCTTGTTTGGCAAAATAATGTAAAGCTAATATAAAATAGACTGGAAAACCTCATTGTAGCCATGAAGCAAATGCGTGACATTGTGATTTAGGTATTTTTATTATTAAATTTAGATGCAGTAACTGTTATTTAATAATATCAATATTACAATGTTGAGGTCTGTATACGAATGCCTTTGAATGAAACGTAATGAAACATTTTAGAAATTTTAGATTCACAGTCATAAATCTACGACATAATGAATACATCTCATTAAATAGGATTATATAAAAATGCATACTTAAACATTATAAATTACAATTTTTCTTGTAATTTTACAGCTAATTTTTATTATGTTATACTTAGCTGTAATTTTACAATATGTTTGTCATATATCTAATGTTATTTGAGAATAAAAAAGAATAATGAAACATACTATGCAAAGTTGATCAAATTTATATAAAATTGACTAATTCTATTACATTACGTTTCCTTCGATTGATACAATACAATGAGAGAGAATCAAGAATTTTAATATTATACGAAGAGAACTGAGTGAAATAATTCGTTTAAATAACTCGTTGCTATTTATTTTTTGTGTACTTTGATACACTTACAATTATATTAAAATCGCACTGATGAAAAATTTAACTGCAGTGAACTTTTTCGCGGTTACTTTTGATATAGTAAAAGTCCCAAATAGACTTTCTTTTTATTATGATATTTAGAGAAATAATGAAGAATAAACATTTATTTGTACATACATCAAAGTAGATAAATATCAAACAAGTATAAAAAATTGAATTATTCGATTGTAAGTATCCTTGATATATGATAGGCACCTTGACAATTTCACGAAAAATCAACACTACAATCTTGTAAGATGCACATATACTTATTGCATATGATAGCAAATATAAAAATAAATGTTGGACTATTTACGCGATACGTATCTGTGAAAAAGGAAGCGTAAAATCAATACGAAAGAAAAATTATAATTCTTATATAGAGATTATTTTAAAGTTATTATTAATTAAAATAAATTTCAGCTTTGTAATTAATCGTTTTGCTCTTCACCTACATGTGTTAATATAATTTTAGTAAATTATATAATCACCCCTATAAAATTAAATAATTTTAGAAAATTATATTTTCTCTCTAGTTATATTTACGTTAAAAAATATGTATATATATAATAATTGATCAAATTTTTGCAAAAATTATTGAGTCATAAATAATCATAGATTAAATTTTATTTGTCACGATTTTATTTTACATAGTAACATTTAGTAAAATTTAATACAAAAAGCGATAAAGGCATAATAATTATTCTATAAATAGCTTCTGTGATTTATAACAATTGATGTGTATCGTAAAAGAGAGCGAAAAAATATCTATTATTTATTCGAAACGTAATTTAAGCATATAAGTAACTGAAAATGAAATAGTTAAAAATATTGTGTACCAGTTTATCGATTATTATTATATTTATCAGTGTCACAAAAGTTAAAATATCCTACATAATATTTTCAAAAGAAAATTTTTAAACGAAAACTATATAATGGTTGCAAAGTCTTATATGTCGGTATATTGTAAATGTGATTATTTATATTTAGTATTCTGCTGTTTCATTCATATGACTAATTCATATTACAATAATATATTGCATCAAAGGTGATAGGTCAATATTGAAAGAGCACGAATATATTGGCCATTTAATCGTCTGATCAAGCATTTTAATATTTATTAATTTTACCTGTATATTTAAAATTAAGCAGAATTAATCAAAACAGTTTAGAAATAATTATCAGCAACATCAATTTCATCTACGAATGCGTAAAACATCAATGTTAAATTTCAGTATATATATATATATATATATATATATATATAGAGAGAGAGAGAGAGAGAGAGAGAGAGAGATTTTTTCTCTTTTTTAAATTTTAAATAGAGCACAGAAATATGTTGGTATCCTCAAAAATTATGATATAAAAATGCCTTTTAAAAAATACGAACTCATATGTGCCTAAAATGATGCGTTTAATGGCTACCTGTTGTAAAGTGAAAAACATGCTACAGAGTAACGGAGTAAACCTGATGTGAGAGCGTCATTTAAGCAACGGTACTATGCATTTTTCGCATTAATATAAAGCGAAATACACATTTATATCTTATGAATTTTTTGCTGTATATAATATATATATAATCGTATATAGCTCGCTATATTTTTGTGTAAATTTTTAATTCCATTATATGCACGCAGATTAGACTAAAAAGGAAATGTAAAGTATTATTAGCAGACATCACGAATGGCGATCTTAAAAATTTCAATATAATAAAAAAATGTCCAATTGCGACTATCGACACATATGTATATGATTTGCATAAAATAATCATCGTGTATCTATATTCTATCATTTTATTATAAACATATCCGAGATTATCGGACTAGGTCAATATCGGGAATCGCAAATAATCCACGTCTCGAAGAGCAATAAATAGAAAGAAATGCGACCGTATTGTAATAATACACATATATTCATTTCTTTTTTTGCAGATCACTCCGTATACGCGTCGCTATATGTACACGTGCGTTGTGTATGAGTGTACGCGCCGGTATGCGGAACGCAGCGTCGCGCATATGACGCCGGTGATCATCCGACATTACGTCATCGCGGCGGTCCCTCGCTCTATCGCGCGCTCGGTTGCGTCCGCGCATTAACACGCGCGCACTGTGTCGCGTGGACGCAAACGTCAAACGGAAAGTGCATTGAGAAAAAACACCGCGTCTTCGAGTCGATCTGCATATACAGGATTTGTTGATCCATATGCGAGTGATAAGTTGGGAATTCCGCGTTATCTCTAATCTTACACGTGTCTTGAAAATCGACACACCCTCTATAGAGAGTCCACGTTGGTGAACGACCGGCAAATTTTGAAGAGTGCCCTGTGCTTGTGTGTGTTTGTGCAAATACCTGCGATATATTTTATTTAATACGGTAAGAATTTAATTTTGATTATGTTTTATTCTGAATTTTACTTTACTGTGCGGTCGAATTAGAATAAGAGATAAATATATATATATATTTATATCTATCTATATATCTTATATCTATCTTATAAATCTCTCTCTCTCTCTCTCTCTCTCTCTCTCTATATATATATATATATATATATATATATATATATGTATACCTTGAAAAGAATTCGCTTTCATTCCTTTTGTATTGTTATCAATAATTTATCACTCGTGTGTCACAGTCAAAATAAATGACACAAAATGATAATAAATGTAATATGGTATACAAAGATTAATATGTGAGAAATTATTATTCTTCTCGAAAAAATAAAATTAACATATAGACATTTGTATAGAACATAAATTATGTTTCACTGAAACAATATATTTTTGCTCGGAAAGTAATAAATGATTTGACATTAATTATACGGAACATTCGAATTATATCATTAACAGCAGCAATCGAATCTTGATAGCATAAATTCGTAACGGTAAACGTATTGTAAATGAGAAAATATGTGGGGAGAAAGCGGAAGGAAGAAGTGATTATATGGTGATTAACTATTAAGCAATCGTAAACCACTCATCCGTGCATGAAATCATGCATTACATAATTTTCTCGGAGAAACTTCCAGGGGTGAAATTTTGAAAACCTGTTTCGTAATTTACATTTATTTATATGCAAGGGAAAATAAAATTTCTTTAGGTTTTACGAGCTCTTAAATTTCAGTTTTATCTTCTATATATTTTCAAAAAATATTTCTTTTTTTCTCGAATTGTCAAAAGTGTCATATAAATATCGAGAATTTGAATGAACGAGAGAAAAGAAATCTCCCGCAGTTAGGACCCTAAAAATATTTTTCGGAGTAAAATTTCTCTTTTGTTTTGTTTCTTTCTCACCCTTGCCAGGCCAGGTATATTATACACACACACACACACACACACACATATATATATATATATATATATATATATATATATATATAATGTAATATGGGCCAAATGTACACGTGTACATACACGTTTCAAATTTAGAAAGAGCGAGCTCGACCAATCAGGAATTTAATGCACAAGATGCAACGTGACGTTTCTCTTGTACAAAAAATGTGATTGGTCGGCTTCTCTAGATTTACATACATGTTTTATGCGGTTGTATGCAAATCTGCCCGAACAGTCCCAACGTTCGAACAGGTTTTAGATGTATATTCTTCGTGGCTGTGCGGTGAGAATTACACTCTCTGCACTCAAATTGAAACAGATAGATAGCATTAGACATTAGAGAGAAAAGGAGGAGAAATATATCGTAATAGAGAAAGCGCAGCTAACAAAGAACTGACCTATCGTGGCGGGCGTCTGCTAGGTCAGCTGTTGGCGTAACGTGGGTTGTTCATTAAACTTGAAACGCTTTCAGAAGAAAATTCCTTTCGCACGACACACCATATATATTACCTTATTCGATACGCCTAGTTTTTCTATCAAGTCAGGACATCGCAAAAAAAGTCATCGCGATCTCCAAGTTTTCCTCAGGCCTCTAGCGATACTCTACAATCGTGGAAATAATTATTGCGCGTGTGTGTGTTCACGAAAAATTAGAAGAAAAAAATTCCACGTCGCCGAGAGAAGCGTAACTAGCTGTTCCGGGTTTTTTTTCCGCACGAAGAAAAACGTCAAGAAACGTCGCGAATCTCGCGACCGCAAACTCCGACCGCCAGTGCTAACCGTAAGTGCTAACGAATAATTCCACCAATGCCGATTCTCGAATCTCATTTGTCGTGTGCGAATTGCATTTCTTTCGCAGACACGCACGTACGCACGTCGCCGGACGTGCGTGGCACGCGACTCGCAGGCGCGGCGTCGTGTGACGTCGACTGGTACACGATCACGAATTTCGATCTTTCGTATCCACCGACGCAAAAGGAATATTATGCCGTCCTGGGTTATGCGTTCTCTACCCATCCGCGATAGTGTAATTATTTCTTCCTCAAAAAATATGTGGATGTTAAAATATATATATATATATATACATATGTATATGTAGTTATTTTGTTACTTTCTGTGAATGAGAATGTGACAATTATATACCTCAGATTAATAATAGCAGCAATATTTCTCAATTATAATTATGTCTTGCCTCTTTGTATTTTATGTAATTATGTGTCAATGGTGATTTTATGTATTGATAGTTATAGATATTATGATATATAAATATCTTTTTCTTTTTATTATCTCAGAATTATATTGCATAATTTTATGGTAACATTTACAGTTAAGCGAAAGCTGTATGGGAACAGCATTGCAAAAGTAAGAAAATGTCCAGGAAGCGTCCTAGAGAAGAAACTATGCTGACTACTGTATCGCATCAGAACAACGTTAATGGAGAAAGTGCATCCTGCTCAAGGGAGGATTCTCCAGTTCATGCTGTAAGTATTTATATATGTCATTGGCATAATTATATAAACAATAGAGTCACAGTACCATTACAATAAAAATATATCATATTATAAAACTACAAAATAATTGGACTCTACATTATATGTATATGTTTATAAATTTTCAATATTAAGTTTGTTATCAATGTTATTCTTAAGACATACAATCACCTAAAATTGTCTACTGCAAAGATAACGATATTGCATTTAAACTGATAACAGCCTGGCGTGATGCCAGATTGGCATATCTAATGTAATAAAAGCTTGGAAATACTTTAGCACTCCCACAGTCTATAAAAGTGAAGTCATACTGACATATTGAATATAATATAACATTTAATTTAAAAACTTACATTTTAAAATTATATTTAAAACATTAACTGCAAGTGTATAATTTCTGTTTTTTATTAAACATCAAGTATTTCATGTGTTTTTAATATATAATAGTTAAATGTACTTAACACAAAACTAATTTCAAGATATAAAGTTTTATCTTTCATTATAATTATTGATTAATCAAATTACCAAATTATATTAAGAGCAATGACTTGGGGTTCTAAAGAGAATTGCAATGAAAATAACAGTGCAAATTTACTGCTTCTAAAAAATTATAGTAATCAAGTTTCTATTTATCATGAAAAATCTCAAGTGAGTTTTATTAATTTTACTGCTTTTTTTTATATAAAGTACTAAAATATAAGAATGTGATACATTATTATATAATTTACTAGATTAAAATAATAATGTTGAACACAATTTATATTTAAATACCCACACACACAAAACTCAAGAGAAAATTTTTTCCATTTAGCTTATATTTATCTTAAAATATTAACAATCTCTTTCATATTTATTCTAGTCTATCTGTAAGGAAGCACCTTTCAGCGATGATTCAGAGGCTATTATAGAAAAAATGCATGTGATTACAATACAAGAATCACATTGAAACAAGCACGGAGTGGTAAAGGTATATTTCAAAGATGGTGTTTTAATAATATGAAATATCGATTTTTTTCATTTCTAATATATGTATTTTAAATTATTTTTAGCTCCTAGAAAAATTAGAGTTTATGCCGATGGCATTTATGATCTTTTCCATCAAGGACATGCACGGCAACTTTTACAAGCAAAAAATATTTTTACAAATGTTTATCTCATTGTTGGAGGTAACTATGCAAAATTATTTTTTAAAAGATTATTTACTATTTACACATTATAAATCACTTATTGCAATATAATTATAATTTACAGTGTGTAATGATGAATTGACACATAGCAAAAAAGGAAGAACTGTAATGACAGATTTAGAAAGATATGATGCTGTTAGGCATTGCAGATATGTAGATGAAGTTGTCCGAGATGCACCCTGGGAACTTGATGACGAATTTATTAAAAAACACAAGGTATAGTCATGATAACATGATTTATGTCTATATTTTTAAATTAATTCAATAAAATGGTATACATTTTATAATTATTTCCTAAAAAAATTAAATATTATGTTACAGATTGATTTTGTTGCTCATGATGATATACCCTACATGACAGATGATGTATCAGATGTGTATGCTAAATTAAAAGCTAAAGGCATGTTTGTAGCCACACAGAGAACAGAAGGCGTTTCCACTTCGGATATAGTTGCAAGAATAGTCAAAGATTATGACATATATGTTAGAAGAAATCTTGCACGAGGTTATAGTGCAAAGGAACTCAATGTTTCTTTTCTTAATGTAAGTTAATTGTTACATAATGATATATATATATATATATATATATATATATATATATATATATATATCACATTTAAATTGTTAAATGCAAAGAGATATCACAATAATATATTGATAGAAAGATACAAAATAGTTATATAAATATATTATTTATTATATAAATATAGTAATTATTATATTACTATTTAATTTTTATATATGTAATATATATAATTACTATATAATTATAACACACAAGAAAAATTTTACAGGAAAAAAAATTTCGTCTACAAAATAAATTTGATGATTTGAAAGACAAAGGAAAACGAGTAATGGAAAATATTGGTGAAAAACGAATGGACATGATAAGTAAATGGGAAGAGAAATCTCGGGACTTTATCGATGCTTTTCTTTTGCTATTTGGAAGAGAAGGCAGATTGGTATGTATATGTTGTACATATTATTATATGTATTATACATATAATATTGAAATATATATATATATATATATATATATATATATATATATATTATATAATATTATATATGTATATATATATTATATAATATATATTATATAAAGAGATATTTAAAACATTTTTATTTGCAGTCAACAATTTGGAACGAAAGTAAAGGCCGTTTGATGCAAGCATTGTCTCCACCAGCAAGCCCAAAAAGAGATGGCAGTCCAAATAGCAGTAACAGCAGTCACAATGATGAAGATCAAACAAGGTACACATTTTTAAATTATTATTAAAAATATTCATATATATTTTTGTGGTATTAAACTTTTATACATCTTATATAGTCCACCACCAAACAAGACAGGACGCTATGAGTTTTCACATCAAAACAATCATTATTTAAGCGATGATTATAGTGATGATGAAGAGGAAAATTTACACTCCAAATGATAACTGATCACATTAAAGAGGCATATATATTCTTTTTGACCAAATAATCGTGCAATTTTTATTTATTACCTTGAAAGTTTAGATGTATTTTCATACAATTATATGAATTGCTGATACAGAGTGTAGTGCTATGCTTGATGGATTTTGTATGATATGAGCTGATACTATATATTAAACATATTGCCTGTTGTGATGTGAAAGTTTAATGTGATTTTGCAGATTTTATTATTTACATCATAATATACATGATGGCTTAGGTGATATATGTAGACTGTTTAAAGTAATGTAATATTCAATGTTTTTTATTGTTACTTTCGAAGACACTATTACACTCAGTTCCTATATTCTTTAATGCAAATGCAATCGTTATTTATACCTTTAATTTTGTACTTGATCTTGATTATAAACCTTGATTAACATATACAATGATTCCTAGTTATAAGCATAATTTCTGATCTGATTGTAAGCACACAAGTGCTTATTCTTATCAAGTGAATTAATTTAAAGTCACATCTGTTATCTAAAGCTAATATTTCAAAATGTTTTATTTCCAATAAATTATCGAAAAGATTTATATCTATAGATACTGATTGAATAAATAGGATACACAGATTTGTGTTTCAAGATAGAATCGCGAGATAATCCTAATGCATTTATAAATGGGAATCACTGTATGTTTATTTTCAAGAGTAAGAGTAAATATAATTGTATTTATGTCATATGAAATACTGATTAATAATTAAGGTGCTATAAATTGTTTTATAACTTTTTGTGTTCAGAAATTTTTATAAAATAGTCTTATTATATTAGTATCATAAATAATTTTTTTTTTTTTTTTCATCTTTATACATGTAAATTCAACTCTAATTTTGTTCAAAGAAGAAAACAGTTATATTTCAAATTAATTTTTATTTTAAATAGCGCAACTTGATATATAATATTGTTTATAAGTAACAAAATGTGTATAATACTTTTAAGCTCCTAGATTACAAAATTGTGTCGTACTCCATATTGTGAATATACAAAAAGTAAACAAACATTTAGAAAATCAGATACTTATAAAGATCAGAGAGAATTTGTTTTAACATGTTAGACATTTAATAAAAATTTATGAAACAATTACTTTTGTAATTATATATTATTATTTTGCGTTTTTATATGATAACTTAAAATAATAAGCATTTTAAAAAATCTTTAATTGCATTGCAACATAATTAATCAAAAATAACATGTAATATTTCTTAATAATCAAATTACAAAATTGAAATTGTTAATTATTATGAAATATACTTCCTCTTTACGAAGTAGAGTTTTAATGTTAATGACTGCAAATAAAATTAGCTAATTAAGATCAGATTAATGAACTGAAAAAAGAACGCCACATTTGTATATGAATCTGATGTATACTTACAATAATTGTTTGTGATATATCATGCTGCCGCAATTTGATATAGCTTGCATTTAATATATTTGTTTTTGTGTAATATCAATTCAAATCTAAAATATTTATGATAATAAATGCTTTCTCTTTTATTTAGTAAAAAAGAGCACAATATATAATACACATTTTATAATAACCATGTACATTCTTATATATTTTTTAAATATATGAATTATGAAATTGCAGAGAACTTGTACAAAATTAATTTTGTAGTTTTGAAAATATATTTTGGTCGATGTTTTGTGTACGTGTATTAATTAAGTCACATATAAATAATCTTATTTATATAAGTGAAAGAAAGGACATATAAATAAAGTTGGAATTTTTGAAATTATAAAAGTTCTTGGAGTTGTTTTTATTTGTATCTTATTTTTTATTTTTGTTTATACCTTTTTTAATATATCTTTTAGTATAATTAATAGTTCGGGTACCTCGTGTTTGCTAAATCCGTGATCACAATGCGAGTCTCTTAGGCTGAGATCTTTTGTAAATTTGATTTTTTTACAATAAATTAAAGAAGAAAGTGAGTTTGAATTTTCTCGACCAATAATTATTCGTTTTAAAAATGGCTGACTTCAGATACGCAGGTTTGTATACGTGAAACATAAAATTCTCTAGCATTACAGAGTGCCTATTGGACAAAGAATTCTCGGAATCTCCATAGAAACCGATCTGACAGCCAATTGGTAACGTCCGATAAACATTTTGTCGTACGAATGCAATTGTATTAGTAAAGTGTCAATATCCGTTACGAATCCCGCGCGTTCGCAGAAAAAGCACGAGAGAGCGAGAAAGAAGGGGACAATCCGAATTTTTGGCGATTAACGAAAACTGGTGCGTGGTGGGGCAGGAATAAAGTGACAAAGATAAATCGTGCTAGTGCAGTTCCGTTTTCGTTCGGTCTTTGTTGATCGTACGTCGCCGTTGATGCTGATCATTAAACAGAAGTGAGTGTGCGAATTCGTTGAGGTTTATCTGTCGAATTTGAAATTCAGAAGAGAGTGAGTGTGGAAAACCGCGTGACTGTCAACCTCCGCCATAATATATCCGCGATAGATGCCGACAGGCATCTCAGCTGTCATTGTCGTGAAAACGGAGCACGTGCGCGCGAAATAAGTAAGTAAATGTCATCTGAATTTTTCTCTTCAATTTTTCGTTTCTCCTTCAATCGATGTGTATAATGTAACGTTTCTAACCGTATAAATGACATGTAAAGGATACCGAAAGAGAGGGAACGAGTGGAGGGAGCGAGAGGGAAGCGTAGATGGCGCTGCCGAGCGACTTGCTGATCTCGCGCATGCGCGCTCCATTTTGGCCAACATAAAATCAAAAGAGTCGCGCTTGTCCTGTATACACTGTGCCTTCGCGACGACGGGACGGACGGGAGCGTTGTTGCGCGTCGAAGACGGACCACGCTCGGGGAAGAGTAAGGATAGGGGAGAAAGGGGTGCGGACACCAATGTTGTAACGTACGTGCCAAAATGGAAGAGCCAAGCATTCACGGTAGTATCGGCGATATAAATAGTGCGGAGACAACCAGAAGTAAGTGCGAATCTGTCAACGTTCGATTATATTCCCGAAAATCGTCTTCTAGACTCGGAAATGACGTCGCTACGCGATGTCTCCTGGGGTCGACGAAGGACCCTTCGTCCCTTAAATTGTTTTGAATTTTCATTAAAAAAATAGCCGTTGCATATATATTTGCAGGTAAAAGCACCTGCAGGTATTGTTTGCCGAGGTCCATTAGACCCTTGTCAATTTCTTTTAAATTATTTTCAATACGAAGACTATTTTACAAGGTTTCTCTTTAGATTTTTATTGCCCCGAACTTTCGAAAACTATTCGACATGACAATATTCTTTGTTTTTTTTTCTTTCTTTTGAATCACGTGCATCAGAAACGACCAGCCAAAGAGCGAAAAAAAGAAGAAAAATATACCTGTGTCTCGTAAACTCGGCCTTGATTTCTTCAAAATGGCATTAAAAACAAACCGTCTCTTTACGGTGAATACTCGTAGAAAATGACAAATGTTTTTACAGCAATTCATTTGTAATCGCATGCAACGTTCGTTTATAACTCCGTTCGCTTTCCTTTTCTTTCATTCTCTTTTTATGTCTTTCTCTCTCTCTCTTTCGTGCTTTTCGCAAGTTAATTATCTTACGCCGAGCACGTGAATCGCGTGTACCAGATGTATACATATACATATACGCGACTTCCCGTTGTCTATGATAGAGTCAATCAGAGATAGAGCCTACTTTGTGTACGAACGTTTAAATTTTACATAGCATAACGTTGAAATGGTTATAAATAGTACATACCACTGACAAAATATAATATTCTATTAGGAAGAGAAAATATTTATATAATAATAATAATAATTTATTTTTTTCATCTATCATAATTGTTTTGCAATTAATATATCTATTATAATATATCAATATAAATATATACATTTTTTTTAAATATGTATTTATATAATTAATAATAATAATATACACAATTTATATACAATATTAATTATTGTATGGTCAGGTTTCTCAGTGTATTTTAGAAAATATTTATTATTTTTCTCCTTTATTATCCCGAAATAATGTATATATATATATATATAGCTACATTATTATTTATTACATATAGCTACAGTATATATATATATATTAATTAGAAGTTCGCAAGGACAGTAAAATATTCGAAAATATATTAATAGATAGTAGAAATATTTTCTTTGAAATCAAACCAAGATCTTTAATCAAGTTTCTTGTCATATATTCGGGTATTTATAATTTCGAATACATATTTATACATACATACATTTATACGTATTTATGTGGCAAGTTATTCTCGAAATTTGTCTCGATCCGAATCATCAGCACATATTTGCTACTATTAGGTATCCGAAAAGTTATAAATATATATATTTATATATTTATGATAAGAAACAAATTTAACTGTAATCGGCACATCCCCTTATTATTAATTTGAAAAAAAATAATATTTATCAAATATATATCAATATTTATATATATATATATATATATATATATATATTTTTTTGGTTTATTGATAAATTATCTCAAATAAGTAATCTATCAAAAATAAAGCTTCTTTATTTTCTTTATCTTATTTTCCCTTCTCATTAATCTTATTAATCACCTTATTAATCTATACATATAAATAATGTTTATTTTCCATTATTAATTCAATTTTATTTAAAAATAAAGTTATTTAATCTTTTGTTTTATCATAAGTATTCTATAATTTTATTAACTATTGATACTATAATATTTACATTCATTATCATAACATAAATGATGAAAAAAAAGATTAATGAAAAAATTTTTTGTTTACCAGACTATATAATACCACGTAAGAAGAGAATATGTTTAGTTGGTTCAACTTGCAATGATCCTGCACTTAATATTGCTGCTCAGCAGTTCAGAGTCTCTGTACTTAAGTCTGAAACTGGCACAGAATATGTCGAAGACACTAGCTACTATACTTACTTCGTACTCAAACAATTCGAAGGATCTGAATATTATAATTTATGCAAAACTCCTCATAGGTTAGTGTACATAATAACATATATTCTTATGATGATTTGGAACATAATTTATAATTTTAATATAGAAAGAAAAATTTGAAGTTATTTGTTTTCTCTTTTTTTTAGAATTTTGGGATCTACAGCTTTGCTGCAACTGGCAGAGAAAAAAGAATCTTTGCCTAGTATTAAAAGACCAATGTTCACACAAGCTATGATAGGCACAGTAGTAGTATTTAGCGGTTTTCGAGCCAGAGAGGATGAATTGGTCAGTACATTATCTATAATTATAGTTTTTATAATATTATTAATCTTGATACATAATATGTATATTTTATATTCTTATAATAATTAATCTTTTTTAACAGCGCAAGTTAGCTAATATGGTTCTTATTATGGGAGGTAGCATTCGAAAAGAGATGGGCATTAAAGTGACGCATCTTATTGCAAATCATTGCAGTGGAGAGAAGTATAGATATGCTGACACATTTGGATTGCCTATTATGTCAGTAGAATGGGTAATAGCATTATGGAATGCCAAAGATGATGTCTCAAGTTATGCGGATAATGAGGAATTAGTAAGTGTATTTCTAAACATTAGGAAATCTTGAAATAAAGTCTATTGTAATAATATATAATAATATATTTTTTGTTAAAAAACGCACTTAACTTTAAATGCAGATCGCAACTTATAAGCTGAAACCATTTTATGGGGCAAAAGTCTGTTTCTCTGGTTTTCCCGAAGAAGAAAAGAAACATATGTGTGAAGTTCTGGAGCAGCAGGGTGGTGAATGTACCGAGATTAATGACCCGAAATGTACTCATGTTGTAAGTTAATTATTTTAATAATTTACATTATTTTTTATGATTTATATATAATTCTATCATTCTTTTATATATAAATATTATTTCACTTAATTAATATTTATTCACTATGTAAATGGCATACTCTAGGTGATAGATGTACCTGGCTCTTTCTGCAAGAAATCTAGCAACAAGTTAAATCTTCAAAATTCATCCAATTCACTCTCCTTAATATACCATAAATCAACTTCCTCTTCTATTCATAATCCTTATTTAAACACGGTTTCTAATACAAAAACTAGTAATTGTGATTACAGTAATGTATCAAACAATGACAATGCAAATTCTGTAAAAACTCAGGATAGCTATTCTTCATCAAAGAATAGTTCGTCTGTTGCACATGATATAGAACATAATATATTAAACGATCTGATTTCTAGTAATGTCAGTCAAGATTCTGCTATTAGTATGGGTGATCATTCTTCTGATTTACAAAACTCAAATATTAAATCTAGTAATATATTTCATCCCTTTGAGCTAAATGATTCTGGAGTAGACATAATTAAATCATCTAATTTATTTGCTATATTTTCGATAGCAAATAAATATTCCATTCCAGCAACATCAACAATGATGAGTAATAAAAACGTTAAATTCAATATTTCTGAAGATTCTTTACTAAATGACGAACATTCTCCATGTGAAATCGTGTCAAATCTTCCCACAAGATCAAATGATTTAAATTTGTCTGCACCTTATGAAAAGAATAATGAAAACATAGATTGCACATCATCAATAAGTAATAATGCACTATCTTTGAGATATCATAAGAATATTCATTACATACGGAATAATACATCAAGAACTAAAATAACTCCCAAACGATATGTAAAGTGGAGGAAAACTAATTCTTGTACATCTGTTCATAAATGGCAACGCATGAAAAATATAAATTTATAAAAACTTATTCGTATCCAAATATATTGAAATATGATCAAGAACAGTATAGTGATACATTTTTATCTAATATATCAGGTGACAGAAATAAGCATTTATTTAAATCACGCATATCAATTTTCTCAAAAATTAGTAATTTCTCTTTCTGTCCAAAATTTTTTGATAATGAACAAGACACTCTTGCTAATTTACACACATGTTCTCCTCCTCCTGAAAAAAATCTCTTTAAAAAAAAATATACATCCTTATCTAAATCATTTCCAACACCTTCTAAGCTTTCAAACACTAAACATAGCTCAAGAAACATTTTTAACTTTAATGGAAAAAATTGCGGTGTACAATCTGCATCACATGACATAAAAACCAATTACACAGATTTGAAGAGCGAGAAGGATAAAGCACTTGTGGTACTTTCATTTAAATTTTTTTTTGTCTCGTCTAAAATATAAAGCGTAGTAGTCCCTTAATTTTTTAATTTTATTTAATTGTAACAATATGTTACGTAATAGTATAGTTATATAAAATGTTGAGAAAAAGATTCAGGATTTAACAGTAGTTAAATGTAGTATATTTATTAATTTTCCACCTAGGTGGAAATATTTAACACATGTAAAATTGATTTTGTTAAAGTTAGCAAAAATTTTTAATTTTGGATATATAATTCTTGTTTTTGTTTATGGTAAAATATTCTGATTTGTTACTTAAAAGTAATTGCATATGCAATATTAATATTTGCAAATCAGAGTATTAAGTATTCGAGGAAGATGTCATGTTTAGTGTCTTCTGAAAATTTATTATTGTATATTACTATAAATTGTGCCAATGTTATTAACTCTGTCTATTGTCCATTTCTGTAATAAATAAGTAAGATATACTAAAATGATATAATATTAAAGCTACTTTTTATTATAGGTCATAGATGAGTCTAATGTAAATGTACTACCAAATCTGGTCTCAGTATCAGCTTTCATAGTCAAAACTGGATGGTTTTGGACATCTGTACAGAATGAAGCAGCAGCAGATGAGAAAGAATATTTATTTGAACATGTAAGTTAATAATAGTAATAATGATAATAACAATTTTTGTTCTAATAATATATCTTATTATTGTTTAGTACCTAGAAAAAGTCTTGTCCCCTACCACATCTAGTAGACGAAACAGTCAACAGATTGTGGCATCAAATATAACATTACCAAAACACCCTTATTGGTTGGGTGGTCCATTATCTAATATACTACAAAACGGAGCAGATTCACCAGCCAGTGTTAGTGGAAGTTTTCTCGACTGCACAGCGAGTCCAGATAAACAGTTGGATGGTATGTACCTATTACCTAGGATAATATGTATTTTAATATATATTTACTTCTTGATTAAATATTTTAACATAATAAAAATAAAAAATAAAAATTATTAGTTAGCATAAAATATATTTAATTATTAAACTCATAAAGCAAACTATTATAAACAAAAGAATTATATATAATTATTATTTATTATTAACTATTAGGTATTCCAGAGGTCGAAACTGTTGATACGGAAAATTTACCGAAAGTTCGGGAAAATTTGTCGAAACGTCATCAAGTATTTCTTGAATTAGTAGAGACTGAAGCTAATTATGTTGGTATTCTCAATACAATTATGACGGTAAATATTATGCTCAAATTATAAAAAAAGGAAACTGATTTACATATTTTAACCATTTTTAACAATCTGTATTTATGTACTTTACAGCTATTCAAATTACCATTGGAAAATCTCGTAGGAAAAAGTGGAAAAGAATTGTTAAATAGCACAGAAGTAAAGATTATATTTGGCAATTTTCCACCCATCTATGATGTTCATAGGCAGTTATTGGAAGCACTACGTTGCAGTGCCGCTAATTGGACAGAAGATATTAGTATTGGCAAAATATTTCTTAAATTTGAACCAGATTTAGTTAAAGCATATCCTCCATACGTCAACTTTTTTGAAAATACAAAACAAATGTTGGAAGAATGTGATCAAAACAAACCACGATTTCATGCTTTCTTGAAAAATTGCCAGACAGTACCAGAATGTGGTCGACAAAGCTTAAAAGAGCTGTTAATTAAGCCAGTACAAAGATTACCCAGTATTAAATTATTATTAACCGGTAAAATATTTAAATAATATTAATTTTTAAACTTTTCTTATAGTTTAAAGAAAATTTTTCAGATGTAATGTGTCATTAAAATGCTATTATTTTTTACAGATATTCTTAAATATACTGACATAAGTAATCCAGACTATAGTGCTTTGGAAGCTTCTATTAACTGTACTAAGCAAGTTATGACATACATAAACGAAGATAAAAGGAAAACAGAACGTCAGTTAGCAATTTTCGATATTTTCAATGAGATCGATAATTGCCCACCGCATTTAGTTTCTTCGCATAGATCATTTATCAATAAATGTGATGTAATGGAAGTTACAGAAGGCCTCAGTGGACGGGGCGATCATTTGGTATTGTTTCTATTTACCGATACTCTCGAAATATGTAAGAAAAGATCGAAAGCTTTTAACTCGTTAAAAAGTCCTAACACTATAAATGGTTTTCAATCGAGTAAACTAAGTCAAGGAAAGCCGTATAAACATATTAAGATGTTATCGCTCAGTGCTATACGAAAAGTTGTGGACATACGAGAAAGTGAAGGTAAAAATAAATTTATATATTTATATAAGCATATAAAAAATTATATTATAACTATTTGATTTTTCTAGGATACCATAAAATATTTGCACTCGTAGTGCGTGGTACTCAGGAATTGAAGGAAAAATTCTATTCGTTTATAATTAATGACGAAGAAATAAATAAAGCAAATTATTTACAAACTTTATGTAGACAAATGGCTCTCGCCGTCCGTGTAGCTGATGCTGTATGTATAAAATTTGTGATATATTCGATATGAGAAAACATTATATATAATTTTTATTTATTCAATTTATTATTTTATTTATATTATGTTTCTATTATAATATAAAGTATTTCTTATTTTTCAGGATACATTACTTCTTAAATACGATTCACATCAACTTGATGTTGGCACTGGTGATGTAGCTTCAGGAACATTAAAGAAAACAATTAAGTGAGTATACCTATATTTTGATCTTAATACCATTTACAAATGTTTCTTAGATGTAATGCACACAAGTGATTTTGCAGCGCGCGGTTATTTGGCTGCATAAAGTGTCCATTCAAAAGAGCTTATTAATATGTATGAAGAAATATGTAGGAATGATTTTATAACATTTTTAAGAAAACAATATAGTCTATTTTAACAGCAAAATAGCCACTTTAGCCTATGAAACACACATAGCGTATATTTAAAGTGCACATGAGCGGAGGAATCGGAATAATTCAAAATTTAGAGGAATTGGGCTACTCAAAATTGATCAGAGTGATTGAATATATGTATAAACGAATAACAAAAATATTGAAAAAAAATTGATCATTTTTTGTTTGAATTATTTTTGTGTTATTTTTTTATATACTATTAAAAATAATTATTATGAAAAGAACACAAAATATATTGCGGGTTATTTTGTAGTACATATACTATAATAGACAATTTGTATTCCCTTTTTTACTCTCTCTCTCACACACACACACACACACACACACACACACGCACGCACGCACACACGCGCGCGCAAACACACACACACACACATACGCATACTTGGATTTTTAAAAATATTAATCTAAATTGTAGTAAGAATATATTTGGTTTCAAGTACAGTAATATTTAATTGTTGATTTATATTAATAAAACAAATATAATAATATATGTATATAATAAAATTATTTGTTTTATTATTTATTTTAAATCAACAAATATTATATTTGATTAGACTTTAAAGATATTATATATTGAAAAGATATTGAAAGATGTCTGAAAAAACATTTACTTAAAATATGAAATTAATATGATAAAACAATAATGTGAAAAAAATTCGCTCGTGTGTGCTAAAATTTATACCTAAATATCGAATTAACTAAAATTTATTTTTTTACATAAAATTTTGTTTCTTATGAAAAATATTTGTCAAATATCATAAGAAGTGTGAAGACTGATATTTCTCTTTTCCTCTTTTACAATTTTTCGTCTAATTAGATGATTTATGAGACTACATGGAGATAGAGGAGAGTTTGTGTTTATAGATATCTATAAAATATTAGTTGAAACATAAACTTTAAATTTTTCGCTCAAAAATATTTTGGATGAAAAGATGATAGCAATTAAAATAAATAATAAAATTAAATAAGCGACAAGTATAGCATAATAGATTATTGGCAAATTTTTTTCGTCACTCATTGCTAAATCAATACAATTTATAACACCATGCACAAGTGTTGCTCAATGAAGATAACATTATTTTAGATTAAAACAGATTCAACATGCAACCGCAAATCTTTATTATAGTTAAAAAATTTAAGTTAATATTGCAGTGGCAATTTGTTGAGCGAAAAATTTACAAGTATCATTTATATTTTAATATCTATATATTTAAATGGGTTACTGGTATATATAATATATTTTTATCGAGTTTCATGGTTGAGAAATTTATTATTGTATATATTCTATTACATTGCATGATGTAAAAAATAATGGAACAACCCGTTTGGTTGCAGGAGCCTATTTCATAATTTTTACCTGGAGTATATGGACCCGTATGTGTTCCTACTCAATAGCATGTGTGAAACCACGTTACATATCCCACTACCGTCAGTTTCCGCACCAGGCTGATTATATTTTTTTACTTTTTATTCCTTTACCTTTTTACTCAATGGCGTAATTATTATTAAGAGCGAACAAACGATATTTAAAACTTTTATTCTCTTGCTGCAACCATATTAAATTATATGTGACATCAAGAAGACCTATAACTTACTAATTTATATTATTGTAAATGATGACATACGAAACTATTAATTTATTTCGATGTGTAATACAAGAAAAAATATATGCATCTCGATTTTGATGTTATATGACTTGTAATGAGAGATTAACGCTTTTAAGAGCCTACAATATTAATGAATTTAAAGAGAATTTAAAAAGTAAAGGTTTGGATAAAAGTAAAATTTTTCTATTTTTTTACATCGAATAAGTAAATATATAAAAGTTAAAAAAGGTATACATTCTTATTTTTGATTTTGTAAATGAAGGAAAAAGATTGGCTTTTCTATCATTTTCTATTTTTCTTATTTCTAATTACGCCTTTGAAAATCTTCGCTTGTAAGATTATGTTTTGTGCTGTGAACAGATATAATTATCCAGTAATAATTCCAGCTGTCTTTAACTAATTCAAGTATAATATAATTGTAAGCTTTTTATTTTTTAGAAGCTTTCTATCTTTTACTTTATTAACTAAGGAATAAGGACTAACTTGGAAAAAAATATGTATAAGAATATCCAAATTATGTACATATATACATAATTTGTGACGTATTATACATATGCAATTTCTTAATTCGTTATGTGATTCTAATTTATTTTAACTCACACAGAGAAATATTATGTGCATTATAACTTACTTTATAAATTGATTGCTTTTATATCTTTGGCCTATAATATAGCACCTACAAAAGATTTTACTTTATTATAAGGGGGCGGAGAAGAAAATTTTATACATAACTTTTTCTAATAGATGTTATCTCTTTTAATATACAGCCATGGTGCAGTTTTCGTTATCTCTAATTTCCGCACGTATGATTAGATATAAAATATAAAATTTATGCATGCATATGTTATATTCTCTATACCACACTAGGTGATATTTTAACTACTCGAATTGGTTTCCTGGATATTATAACGTTTTTTGTGTATTTGCACAGGTTGCATAGGTTCCTCTGTTCGCTTATAAAATTTTTTTCCTCCTAGTAATTTTGACTACATATATATATATATATATATATATATATATATATATATATATATAATTAAAAAATGAAATGTTATACATGTACACAAAAAATATTAATTAAGAGGGGAAAAAAATTTTTTTAATGTTACATTTTATATATTATATAGATTAAAAAATTTTCAAAGTATATTTCCCTTCAGGTTTGCATCTCGTACAAGAGCGCGAGTCGGCCGAGCGTTTAGTTTCAATAAAACGCCAAGCAAAATAAATAGAGCGATGTCTACAATTATGTCACCATTTGGATCAACACAAAGTCTTCCTCCGACAAACCAACAAATAACTCAGATGCGGCTAGGCAGCTGCAGCAATATCAACGTTAGTTAATAATTTTTTGGCATGTATTTCTTTTCTCGCGCTTATTTCTTTTTCTTTTTTTTTCTGCTTGCTTACCTTCATTTTATAACGGAAAGTTATTTTTTCCACTAGTTTTTTTTATACTAACATATCTTATATATTAAGCAGGCTGTGAAAAAAAGCTAAATTTAGTTTATAATCTACTCTACAAGGCCTTTCTATCTATACTTGCTTTTTGCTATTAAATTAATTTTTAAAATATATTTTAAAATGTATTTGAAAACGTTTGTTTTTTTATAAGATTATATTTACATTTAAAATATGAAAAATACATAAGAGATTTAAATTTTATGCCATTTGCATAATATTTTTATGACGGAATATTATATATTGACACAATATTATTTAAATTAATTTATTTTTTATTTTGTATCTTTATTTGATATACTGCTATTTTTTGTTTTCCAATACTTATATGCAATATATTTATTTTTATTACATTTTTTATGAAAAATAATTATATTAATAATTATAATAAATTTTCATGCTAACTCAAAATCAATGGATAAATTATAATAGGGATCATGTAAGTACATTAAAAAATGAATGGAGGAAGAGAACGAAACCAGTTTTATATATTTATTTCTTGATAAAAAGTTAAAAATTATTTTATTTGCTAATGTTTAATCATTTGTTTCTTTGTTTATCTACGAATAAAAAGTTATTAACTTGAGATATTTATTTAATCTTGTAAAATAATAAGATTTAAAAAGAGAAACAATTATAAATTAAACTATTTTCATTAAAAAAATAAAATTTTAAAAACATATGCAATTAATAAATATATTGTAATTATATATATTATATTAAATAAGGCTGGCCTTTTTTTTCTTTTTAGATCTACAATAATTCTATTTCAGTTTAAAGGAAATAGAAGGGGACTAGATGAATAAAGAAATTAAATTTGAAGTTTTATATTTTTTCAGGAGTTGGATAGTGGTGGTTCAAGCTCTCCAAATAAAGATGATGTTCTAGTAGCACCAATGTCGGATCAACCGACTCGAAAGGCTCTCAGTATGGCTTCGCTGCGAAGGTTGTAATTAGTATGCACAAGAAGTCGTACTTCCTTTTGCTACAATACTTTTTAGTATTCTGAACAAAGAGACGTGCATTTTTAACAAACTACTGTGGTATGTTAAACTAATATAGATCGTCTGTATTGACATTAAGACATTAATTATAGTTAACGAGAAAAGCCCGAGAACATACCATAACATTTGTATCTTACACAGTGTTCCGTTCACAAAAATAATTATAATGGTCGTTTTTACAGCAAAGTTTAGTACGATTTCCTGAAAATAATGCTTTATCTTCGAATACATCATTAATACAAAAATGATATTGTTATTAGTGCCAATAATGCCTAGTTATTATTGTTATATTACTATAATTAACAACTTTATTTATTTTATATATTACTTTGTAATTATTGTATATGCTCTTTTTCTTCCGCACTTACTTGCCTATAAGATAACGGACTATCATTTCTCTTTATATAAATATAGTTCACTTTTTTGCCGAGCCAGTTCAATTATTCTAGAAGACATCAAATTGCAGTTGATTCAGGGATATCTATTCACGAATATTTGTGTATGAATTTCTGAACGAATTTCATTATTTTAACGAAAAATAGCCAGACTTATCAATAGACTGCAGACATGTGCAAAAACTTCGTAATAAAAATATCAAAAATAGCATTAATCTTGTTAATTAATATATCTCGTGGCACTCGCGTAATTTTGATGCCGAAAATTTGAGTATTGTTTGTTTAACAATGGATTAGACAAATGTATTAAAACATTTAACCACAGATTGAGAAATAAGATATTTTAGCATCTTTGAAATAATAAATTTTCTCTTTTATGTGTTTCAAGCATTAGAACTTGTGCAATTTCAATATTTCACTCAGCTTTTTATTTCTATTTTCTATTCATTAGAATTTGTTCAGCAGGAGTCATACAGAGATCTGATCATTGAATGATAAAAAAAATTAATGCGCGGCTTTGTTTTACATCGATTATTTACAACACGAATACCACATTGATGTAGACTTTTTTTACGAAACTTCTAAATGTTATCTACATTTTTCAAACAAAATTAAATTTAAAAAAGCCAGTCTGGTATATGCCAAATACTTAAAAGTCTGGAATTTAAAATATTACTTTTAATAATCGAAACACCAAACTCTTAATAGTCCAAAATCCTCCATGTGCCAATATAGTTATGTATACCTAACAATAAAAATGCATATTGTCAACTGTTTAAGAAATTCAATAGACTGTTTAATTGTATTCAATGTAGTTTACAATTTGAATTTAAAAAAAAATTATTAAAAGAATTTATAAAAAGTTTATATACATATATCAAGAGATCAGCAAAACTTTGAAATAATTTGATAACATAAAAACAAGAATAGATTCATGTAAAATTTATATTATTTCTTTAAAATATTTGTATAGTTTTATATAATTTTGCACGATTTACATCTTATATTAAGGAAATAAACAGTTGCCAATGTTAAAAATATTATTAAAGAATTAAATAAGAAATAAATGTTTTTTTTTTTCGAATAGTTCATTACATAACATTGTGATATAAAAGTCATGATGCGAAAAGGATAATATAAATTAATTACAACTAATATTTTTTAAATAACATGCAAACTATATGCTTCAGTTTGCTGTGTACTTTAAATAATCACTTACTTTCATTATAATTCATCCGTTTAGACAAAAACTATCCACTATTTTTTTATTTATCTCAAAATTTTGCATAAACTCTTGTAATTTATAAACATAAGATTGTGTTGCCAATAAAACGTGCTTTACATCATTAATTCATTTTGATGCTCGGCTTGTGAGATTTGTCTAATTGTCACATGTCAATTTTAAGAATATTATTGATTATCAATTAATCCACCTAATCAAGCAATTAAGAAATATATTGCGAATAAAATTATCATATATGAAGGATGTTTATGATATATAATAGATATATCATAGAGCCACAAAATTATCACGATTGATAAGTTCCTTTTTAATACAAATTCAATAGTTGATAAATATTAATTCAAGGATTACAGACATATATTACTGTAATTCTCAAAGCTTTCGTAGCACTGTAAACGAATATTTCATTTCTGAATTGTTCTTTTATTGTTATTTCGTTAGACATCGATTTTGTGCAACATTAATTATTACCATCGCAAAATTTGCACTGCCTAATATTGCAATTTCTTGCTATCATATAATATGCTTTATTTATAAGTGCTTTGTATGTAAACTTTCATACAAATAATGTTATGCATAAGATCGATTGTTGTACGAATTCATATGCATATATTTGCTATTGTGCTGTAATATTCTTAAGTGCCTTTATTTTGCCTTGATTATATACATATTCTTATGTTCCTTACATACTTTACATATTAGCATTTTTTTGATAGTCCGTTATTCGAAGACCAACTAAAATTTATTTTTGAGTCGTTAGCACGAAGTTGAAAAAAGATTAAATATTTAGTTTAGCTGTAGAATAACTGACTATTAAGTGCACTTATTGTTAGCGAAAAATCTTGTAGGCATAACATGATTTTCTATCTGCAGTAATTATTTTTACTCGATCAATACATTCTATGCTTCCTATTTATCTTCTTAGAATGATAACAGCATCGCTTTTCTACAATAATTTAATGAAGCGCTGAGGAAATGAAAGCGTAATATTTTCATAGCTTTATATAAGTAACGATTAATATTTTATATCTTATCATAAATATATGATAAAAAGAAAATCGTACAATATCGTATAATATCAATATAATATCTTGATATGTGTTTTTTGGATCATTGTATGTATTGATTGATTAAAGAAAAAATGTACGACTGCAGAGAAAATGTAAAAGGATTTCGGTGATACTGCTCTTGCATGAGTTTATAAAAGTTTATATTATACAAACATCAATACAATTTTATACAACCGATGATGTCCTCTTGTCATAATAAATATGATTAGTGCCTTGAGTATGATAAAATACGAATAAAATTTGTATTACATGATAAAATGTACTTTGCATATGTGCATGATTTAAAAGAGATTAGTCATGTAATTTTTCTCTTGATTTATCGAGGTCTTTGATGATATTTCATAATGCCTCCTAATATACAACTTGTGTTAAATATTATTAAGATTTTGACTCTATACTGATTGCTACATTTTATTTCAAACCAGTGACATGGTGACCAAACCAGTGACTTTACACTCTCTTGTAATGTATTCTAAACAACAACAAAAATACTTTTGCAGATTGCCATTTGCGTTGCATATACGAAATTATCTATTTATAATATTAATATTATTATTATAAGCTATTATATATAAAAATGGAATAGTAATATAAATCGTGAGAAATAATAGAATTTTTATATACAATTGGTTTCTACGTAGAATTAATAAAATTTAGCATAACATTTTGCGTTAAGTGTTTACATAACTGCTATAATTTTTCTTAATAAAAATATGATCTGTATTACTATTCCACTAATCGACTCGAATTATTCTATAAAAATTCGAGCGTTAATCTTGAATCAATTCTGTGACTCATAAAAAATTATGAATATTTAGTTGGACACCTATCTTTTGTGCGCAGATTTTGATGTTATTTTCAATTTAAAAAAGTTAATTGGCAGGCCAATCGCGTCAAAACGCATCAATCGACATCGCGCTTCAAGCGTGATTGTGATTAATTACCAAATTTCAATTTTTTTTATTTCGAAGAGATATTTGATGAGGTGTAAAGTATGAGAGAAGAGAAAGAGAGAGAGAGAGAGAGAGATGAGTCGCGTGTAATGATAAGCGAAACAAGTGTCCTTGAATTAAATGCATTGTAAATAGTATGATTAAGTATTTCAGAAACTACTATATCGTAATGTAGAAAAACATTTTTTACTACACGTGTAAGATTATCGTAATATCATCGTATAATTCTCGCGCAGTTATTTATATGATACTATTATTCAATGTAAAAATTTAGTCTTTATTATGCAAATCTAAAGGATGTTGTTTATTCGTGAAGAACCTTTTCTGTTTCCTCATTCATCTAGCTTAATTTTCCGAAACCTTTTAGATATACGGTAGTGATTAATATTTCATTCTCTGATTGATATTGGAAGTTTAATTTTGCTAAAAAACAGCAATTTTATTAATTGTGAAGATATATTTCTATTTTAATTTTTTATAAAATGACATCGATCAAACAGTCCGAGTGTGATATATAATTTGCAATAAATTGGAGAAGTCCATAAGAATATAGGTAATTTTATTAAGCATCTCGTACATTTAAAACGATAGGATTCACCGGTTTTATAATAAAAAGCATATGAATATTTAAAATACACTTTGCTTATCGCTCGATATAGAATAAATATACAAAAAAACTGTTACTTGTTCGCATCTCGCTTTCTTACGAAACAAACTCTGCTCTGAGCTAAGGAAAACAAATATTGTATGTTTAAAAATTTCGAAATCGGACTGCATAAATGTTTAGAATAAATATACAAAAAAACTGTTACTTGTTCGCATCTCGTTTTCTTACGAAACAAACTCTGCTCTGAGCTAAGGAAAACAAGTATTCTATGTTTAAAAATTTTGAAATCGGACTGCATAAATGTTTTACGTGTAAATAAAGTGCTTTACAAACTTGCTGAAAAAATAATTTTTCTATTGTAATTTTAAAAATATTATCTTTCATAGATTTTCCTTTCTGAATTCTATAGCGAATTGTTTAGACTTGAGCGTGTTGCATAAATATTAGCATGCAAATGCAATACGCATTCCATATAGTAGTTAGTTATTAGATAATTACATTGCTAATAATGTTTCCATTACTTCTACTAATATTATTCATGAGATACAATTATACAAATAATATTTATGAATCCATACGCATCATTTAAATATTAATGAGACTTTTAAAATGTTTATGAATAACAATGAGCGTCATATTTTCTCTATTTATATATTTCAGTTCTCCGAATTGATGTAGAGAAAATAGAGAAAATGCCTTTTATATTTTAAACATTTATGAAATTAAAAATTTTTTCTCAATATTTTTTTATTGAAAATAATCAAATATGTCAAATTGTCAATAATGGAGAAGGAAAGAAAAACACATTTAAATGAAAGATATGTACATATCAAGCATCTCTCTTATATATACATTTAAAATTTTTACTATAAGCAATTATGATTGATTTTTTATTAACTAATTAATTCTTCGTTAACGATTATCCACATCATAAATAACAAAAATTTCTGAAATCACATAGTGACAACATTTTAAATCGTATATAAGTTGATAGCTCTTTACAGTTCTATTCACGTTTGAATAAGCGTGGAAACAAGTTCGATTATTGACTATCGAAAACAGCAATCGAAGTTGAATTCGAATATTTAACTTGACAAAGGAGATCGAAATCATCGACACGATATTTCTTTTGTAGAAATTAACTAAAAATAGTAAACTAAAATTGGTAATTCTTCAATTTTTGATTGCATACACACATTAACATATCATTAACAAAAAATTTAAATATCACTAAAAGAAGAAGATTCTCTATTTTTGATGTATGTGGTGTATTTCCAAGAAAAGGCTAGATTTTTGAAATATTTTTAACTCTGCTGTACGGCAAAAACAATTAAATAATTACATAAATTATTTCTGCACTTCGCTTATATTTGATTCCTCGAAATAAATCCGCTAAAAAACTTCTATCCTGTAATTTCCGCGCTACGTAAATTGCCGTATGCTTGTCCGAAGAAACTTGATAGATTTCGATGAAAGCACGAAGTTTTAAATTGAGTTTTTCCAGCGGAGCTTGCGCGATCGCGCTAAATAATTATTAAATAATTATTAAATAATAAACTCCCATAACTCTCTTCGCAGAGAAATTTAGTTTCGAACTTCGAATTTCAGGAATTTATGTATAAAACTACTTCCACACAAAGTATGCAATTGTTCCCTTATTAATTGATTGCATTTATGCAACGACATCAGAAAACGCAATTCCTTCTCATCAACGATACCACGATATATTAAATTTAAATAAGAATAAATTGCATACGTTGACATTGTCGTTAATTTTCTTGAAAATATTTTTAGACGATGCACATTTACCGACCATGATTCGCCACCTCTTAATTAAACGTCTCCGTGATATAAGGTAAATTCGCGAAATTCTCCGGAATATAATCCAGCTCCTGATTAAAAATGTTTCGGGAGCAGAGCCAACGCTTTATCTCTCTCGCTTTTTTTCATCCTTCCTTTATTTCGGCAAGAACAAAAACGTTTGCATAGCGAAACGTTACGACTTGTCGTTAACCATTTTTTTTTAACGCTCTAGGAAGGCAAACGTGTTTTTTTATTATGTACGAACAGCTGTTTGCGTATATGTGCGTAGACAAATATTCGCAACGATGCATGTAAACAACTCGTATCGTGCTTATACATATACGCTGATCCCGCGACTGCGTCAACTTTGCCGGAATATATATCGGTACGTGCGTGCGTTTTTTTTCCAGCCGCGTTCACCCGCCTATATAAAACGGTCGCTTCGTTACATCGGGATTATGACGAAGTTACGTGGTGCATAATATTCAGATATTTGACGTGCTCTTGTGAATGCCTCGCGCGAGGAAAGGGAAATTGAACAGCGCGAATATTTTATGCAGCATTTTATCGCGAGCGTAACGCATTATATAAGCGCGGGAAAATGACGTTAGCGTTAATTTTTGCGAGCCATAGATTAAACAAAAATTACCGGTAATTGACGATTGAACGAGGAGAGAGACTTTTCGAATTATTATATAGTTTGCACGAGATTGCGTATAATAATTGCATCACGGCGAAGCAAATTTAGCCCCCTCCGGTTGATCGGCGAAAGCTAAAGCTTTTGTTCGACGTCAAAGGAAATGAGCGAATTAATGAACGTCTAATGAACGTCTGCGTATGATTAAGATGCGTATTATATATATATATATATATATATATATATATATATATATATATATATATATATATATATATATATATATATATATATATATATATGAATCGTAATATATATATATATATATATATATATATATATATATATATGATTGATCGATTTCTCTGGATTTAAATACCTTTAATAATCTCGAGACGCGTGCATGCGCGCGCGTCAATTTATAGCGCATTGTCAAAATTAACTAATTGCTATAGCGAAGGTGTAGCATTATGCTTCGGTAACGGAGGCCGGCAATAATTAACTACATTCAATCCATCAATTATGCCATCGTATTAGCGAAATACGACAGATCGCAATTGCATCTACATAGGCCGCAAAGTGCGGTAACTGTGCATAATCGTCAGGCGGATAATGAACATACAATGCGATCAATTTGCACTATAGTTACTCCTCTGCTAATACGGAATTGTTGCGTACACATTTTGCGAAATGCGGAAATTTTCAAACTGTATTCTTATAAGGAAAAATATTCTCCGGCATCTCAATCTCGATGATACACATAATTACGTTTATTTACATTGTGTAACGGTTCCAGATTGTCACAATGTTGACTTAATTCTTTTATTAGCATCGCGTCTTTAATATTAATTTATATAGAACATTTACATTTATTTAAAAATAAAATCTATTTGGAAGAAAAATAAAAGAACAAATAAAAATTTGCTAAATTATATAATTCTTATATATAAATTCATCGAATTGAATAATATGTATTAAAATTTATTTCTCGATATAATACATTTTTGTTATCTTGATTGTAATTTATTTTTCATTTAAAGTCTCTTGCAAAAAAAGAATTATCACGACTTAAACGTGTTTTATATTATTCCCTCTATATTTCTCAATTAATTTTTATTTTTAATTTTTTAATTTACTTCTGATGTTGACAAATACTTTGCGAGCATTTTGATCGATATTCTATTCCGAGAACCAAGATCTTCAGCATCCTCGCGCTCAGCGTCCCGAAATGGTCCAGAAATGCTTCAACTTTTTCCACATATATATATATATATATCAATATATATATATATATATATATATAAGATCACGGCCGTTCGGTGGAACATTGCGTCGTGTAAAAAGATACACACGTATTTTTAGATCCACGATGGGACAAGAGGGTAAAGAGGAGTTACGTTATCAGAACGGTTAGTAGCGAGACCACACAGCGAGGTTCACATTGATTTTCACAGGGGTTGGGGTTCTTGAAGGGCACAGCTGGAATGGAAGCTGCGGCCTTCAATTCTCACTCATTCACTCTATCTGATTCTTTCCCTTCGCGCTTCACGTCGCTTTGAGACTTTATATTTTCCGACTCTTTCTCCACCCAGCCACCGCCTCTCCTTTCCACCCTCGTGTTTCGCTCTTTTCTTTTTTTTTTTTTATTCATTTTTATCCGTTTTTTCTCCTTTCTTCCGCGTATCCGGACACGTCAACTTAAAATCCCATTTATTCGTGTCGTAGTTTTCTTTTTAACGTAATTGTATTCATTTTGCAAATTTTTTGAATAAACCGAAAGTAATGATAACTCGAGCTTTTCTTTTTGAATTTTCTATAAAATGAAAAATTCTTTACATTTCTTGATGGCTTCATCGATCGAGTTTTTCCTCCCCCTTCCCCGATTCGTTGGTTTGCTCAATTATGTGCTCTTATTTACATACGAGCACGCATGTAAATTGACATTTTAATTAATACACACGATACGTTTTGAGAGTGGACGCGCCAGCGCGGTTTGATTTATTGAATTCATATATGCAATAACATAGCAATTGTCACGAAATGTTACACCACAGACTGTTATATTGTGTTATGCCACAGTTCTATATATTTCATATATATTAACTAAATATATATCGGTTTCCAATTATTTGAAACTGTTTGTTTTCATAAAGTGAAATATTGTCATTATTCTTTAATGAATTAGATGCGAATATTTATAAAAAAGTATCACGCATAAGTATACCATGAAAAAAGAAACGCGTCCCTT